TTGATCACGCAGAAAAATAAATTGGTCTAATTTCCTTAGTGTTATGATAATCGATCAAATCTTGGATGGATGTACATATATACATTTTTGAACAATAAATGAATAGCAGTTGAATCTTAACATCGATTCATGGGAAGGAATCTAGATGGTGAGGAAATTTTCACAGAAGAAGATCGAAATGGTTCATATGGATCCCAGTTTGTTTGCATTTTCACGCACCATTCTCTTATAAATGCACGATATGTAAAAACACTGATTCCTATCATTGCAATTACATCGTTGTTGCTTGAAATCCTAATGTAATGTTTACATATGACACCGCACTTCCTCTGTATAATTTTTACCAAAACTAAAATATTTGATTATTCTCTAAGAAATGTATGTAGCATCTTCAAAATTATAAGTCAAGGTGTTTACAATAATAAATATCGTTGTTAAAGCAGTAGAACTATTGGTATTTATTTTGAATGACAAAAACCATTGCACCAAATCAGAAATGGCAAACTCTTGGATGGTTGGAAGAGAAATATTTGGTTGATTTACCATGTAGAGTTCAGGTTGATTGAACAATTAAATAAGGATTTATTGATAGTAATTGCAACTCTAATGGGATAATGCTCTTCATCACAATCAGGGGAGCAGGCACCACGAATCTTCAGTATTAAGGTCTCCCAGGGTCCAAGACCAAAGAGACAACACATGGACAACAATGAAACTAATGTATCGAACCCAGAAGTATAAACAACCCGGACTCAGAAATGGGTAAGTGGGATATGCCGGAAATCAGTTACAGTAATATTCAAGACAATAGTTTACTGTAATCTAAATACTTTAAGGTTCCCAGCAGCACTCACTGAAATCTTGGCTGTGTGATTCTGTATACCAAACTAGTATTGTTTGCTAGCGATGCCGTGTTGTGCCCACATAGTCGCCAGTTATCTTCATTTACATTTGGGATCACGTAGTGCAGTGAGCCTTATTCGTCCTCAGAAAGGGGAGTGTTGGCAGCTTTCGTGTGTAGTGGGGGTCAATCTGAATAATTTTAGTATTGTTATAAGCATTCTCATGGGTCATGAAAAGTCAGATAAGCCTTCAGTACCATTTGTTGTAGATTTAATTTGATCGAGTCCATAAATTTGGCTGGTACGTCTACATTTTACAACTACAGACGTAGTTCCTAACGAATTTAACAGCTTGAAATATGACTTGTGAAATCTCTCGTAACAGTTTGGTTGATGGTCAAACCGGGCACCAAGTAGTTCTGGGGATCGCGCTATTTCGCTCAGCTCTTTTCAGTAGATTACTTGGTAAAGCTACAATAACCAAAATTAGTACGTCGAACTGAACTTTGAAAACTGGTTAGTCTTCCTAAAGTATCCGACCCTAAAAGCCTCATAACAATAGGCTCATAAAATGTGAAAGTAAACTGAGTAACTAAATGTTATACATCTTCGAGTCTGACATAACTGCTCTGATATCTCATCACACTGGAAATTTGGCCACTTAAAGTGGAGCAAACTGCATCTTTCCATGCTGGTAAACAACAATAATGACGACTCTGACAACCCTAATCATATAAAGGTTGAAATACTGTGTGGTAGATCTAGCTGTCTCGATAAACTACCCTTTCATAGTTGCTTCGAATGCAATACATACACATTTATTCACTTATAAATACAAGACGTGCTGATATGCTACTGGAACCACGAGAAGTCCCTAGGACACTAAAAGATCATTTTGAAATCTCAGGTTTGTTACGCTGTCGTCGTTTATTCCTTATACTTGAAAAACGAGGAACCACTCTATATATGACGTCACGAAGTAAAGACATCAGGAATAGCACCAGATGATTTTAGTCAAAAATACATTCAATATAGGTTGATTTTACGCTCATTTTCGCTGGTAAATAGAATAAAATCATGTATATGAAAAATACCCCGAGATATAACAAATCATATGGTGCATTTCATGCTGAACATACTTCATGTCAATTGAATACAATAATACTGTGTCTTGAGCGAACATCACACTCAAATAAATTGGTGTTATGCCGAATAAAATATCACACTGGAAAACAAAAACTAATGCTAATCTGAATAATCATCGAATTGCTTTAAAAGCGTAAGCAATGTCGATCACGGATCACAATGAGTAAAATAAGGTAATTTAGGGGTTAACAAAAACTTTAAAATCCTTGCTTCTAGCTACAACATGTTAAGCAAGTGCGAGACGACGGATCACTCGACTGAAATACTTAAATTAAGTTCAGGATCACACTCCTACCCCGGGTTCCCACTCCAAGAGGGACTGGTAATCCAAAAAGAGCTGAGAGAATGAGCTGTTCTAAACTCCCGTTGACTCAGCCAACAGAAAAAAAATAACAAAGCAATAATAATTGTATCGCATTCTTGTCGCTCGGTAAAATCAGTGAATTGGCATTTTAATGTGTTTTCTGTAGTGGCTGAGTTTGTAGAATTACGGTCTACCATGATATTAGTACTGCGCTAATAATAGACCTAATGCTAAAATTGTAGACTTGCCATGATATAACTGCCTAATCTATAAGTTCTTAAGTGGAAGTCACGTCATCGTCTACACCATCTCACTGTGTCGTAAAATTACCAATACATGGTGGAGAACAAGCTTAAGCTAGAGGAAGAACAATATATCTAATATAAATAAAAGATATAAGGTAAAATTTCACAGGGACCACGTCTGCATGGCCGAGCCATTCCATCCGATCAAATCAGATCCATTCAACCCCTTGTTCTTGCCTTCTCCATCGTTAGGTATTTCTCCACGTTAAATGTTGAATATCTATTTTCTGAGTAGTTTTGTGTTCAGCTTTAAGGACTCTGTGTTTATGGTCCAAAGTTACTACAAGTTTACTGCTAATGTGATCATTCACTACCCAAGCAGCACTACGGTTTTACGTTAAGTTACCTTTCTCCATGGTTCTTATATATTCCCCCACAGTTTCAAAGAAATACATCGACAGAACTAACAAAAAAGGACCTTAATTGAAAACGACCGTATCAATAATACGTGTATCAATAATGTGCACAATCCATCCAACAAAAACATACTCAAACATGCAACTATAAGAAGAACAATCTGAACTCATAAACTAATAGTTACCGACTTATGCTAGTACCTGAGTATCTGTTAACAGTAAGAAGGATTGGTGAGCGTTGGGAAAACAAATGTTCGAAGCCCAGCTCCAAAAACATTTAACGTCGAGGGCAATGTTCGGAAAAACATTGGATTGCAGCTTATTGGAAGGTTAGGAAGGGTTTGGCAAAGAACATTGGGACAAATATTGTACAATGCTGCGAAGATATCAGTTCAGTGAAGCTACACCACATTTACAAGAGCATCAATGCAACAAAAGGCGAACTTTACATACTGAGGGTAACTTAGGACACAGCGTACCTGATGGAGGAGATTTTACTAACATACCAGAGACCATTGTTTAAGTGATCCTTTCAAATTTGAATCAGGGATGAAGAATATTGGGCCGTGATAAATCTCTCTAGATCAGCGGACACTCAAGAACCAACCAGCATGATGGTTCACGGAGTGTCTATGCTAGATGTTGGTAGTCAGGACGAAGCTCGTAAACGCGATAAGCAACAGTAACGTTGGCTATCGCGTATCATGGGTTTTCACGCCAGGATACCTCGTCCGTCAAACTTCACGAACATTGAGTCTCCACGTCTGATTTCTGTGAACTTCAGGAGTCGAGATGAACTAACTGAAGTTCTTCAGGCTTGGTAAGTTTCAAGCAACGACTTCTTCGGTCACATTATGTGTTGTGAAAGTTGACCTGGGTCGGTAGCACTACAGTAGAAAAGCCTAATTAATTATTACATGGTGCCGTTTGACTTCGGTCTACAACCCGTGATTTAGAACACCGAGATCACGACCCCGTAAGCAGACCACGCTACATAGAGAAAGAAATTTCGGCACCCATAATACAATTTAGACAACAATCCGCTTTGCACCCAGAAGACAAACCCTGCTGTGAATGGACACCAGGTGATGAGACAATTCACCTGGTGCCTCAGTAGCGACGTAAGAGTTACACTAGAAGCAACCAAAATAACTTCACCAAAGAGTTGTTCCTATTTACAGTGCGCTCTCAGTCGAAGTGGCAATAACCACTTCAATAAGTAGCTTTAAGTGGAGACTTGACAAGCACGTTCTCGCTGATGGGTCGGCATCTCCTTTTAAATCCATCTGCATCTGATGAATGTCTCATAAACTACCACAGATAACGTTTCTACATAACCAGTCAACCTCGCTTACTGTCAAGGTTCTTAAAAATTGCCAATCAGTTCACTTATCTATTGTTCTTGAAACAGTAGTCCTCTCTTAGAAGTCAAGTTTTTTTCACTTCTCATTGCATAACAATCAAACCTTCCTAGTAAAATGATAGCTGCTGGTAACCAGAAACCCTACTGCTCTAAGACAAACGCACTCATCCAAATTACATGATATCCAAATCCATAAATAAATGCAAAACTGACTACAAGTAGTGCAGTCGACTGGCTAAGAATTCTTGAAACAGTAGGATGTAAAGCAGGTAGAACTAGATGTGCACAATGAACGTATTATACTTAGAAATCGTAATTAGCGCTCAATCAAGTACGGGAGAATTATCAGTTAGTACAAATACCACACACGATCAAATATCTGAAACCGTACCGAAATGATGATAAGTGAGCGTGAAGGAACCGACAAGTTAACACAAACTCGTAAGAAACATATTTTAAGTAAATTATATTGAAGGAATCAAACACTAGCAGTATTATCAGTACAAGTAAAAATTGGTTTGCCAAAAATCTTGATTTCCTTCGAACTTCTTGTGAATATTTAGTAGGTTGACCAGCTCGCTATTCACGAAACCCTGAAGTCAGGTTTATTGTTTATGTAAGTCAATTACTTTTGAACTCTCATCCCGCATATACTAAATAACGTTCTATATTTGCAACAAACAGATGAATTTGTAAGTTTTATGCTTGTAACCGTGAATCTGATTCTGTGAACTCATATTTTAAACGCTTTAAGAGAAATACTGAGATTCATCCTAATTGGTAGTAGAATGCTGGATGACTTAAGATTTCCTAGAAAATGCTTTTCCAGTTTTATTGACGAGTTAATTTCATTATGAAATGTGAAAACCAGACTTTATTGTTCAAAAACCTTAAGCTCATTGTAATGCTGAGAAATCTTGTGACTGTTTGACTATTCGCTCGGTTTTTTTACGTATTTTGGTTATCATTGTCATATCATATCGTTTACACATTAGTTATCTCTTTGAACGATAACATTCATCACATTTCTTGAACTGATCTGATAAACGGTTAGAAAATGTTTTTTTCATAATTCTTGGATATTTTACGTAAGAAAGACGATTATTTCTTTGATTTTTGCCTCATTTTTCTTTTCTATTTCATTTGAAGTGATAAACATGCTCTGTATATCTGGCTGAAAGTAAAGGTTAAGTGCCATGCTTTTTTCTTTACCTTGTCCAGTTGATTGAGTTGGTTTTCGGCGATCATTCTCATCATTGTAATTAGTTATTTAGAACGTGGCCAAAACCTAAAATATATTTCTTTGTATGGTTCGCTCAACCACTGTATGTCGGTTTTCAATAAATAACTTTCAGTCAAAAGATTAAATAACCGTCAGGACGCAACAAAATTTGGAATAAACATCTTCAGGGTTTCCCATTGATCACCTCCAACCATTATCTCATTTCAACGTAGTGCACGCGATGTCGAGTCACCTAGACTAGTGGCCACATTTCATCTAGGTCGATAGAATTCAGTCTGCAAAAAGGACCACCTGACACACCTGATGTCGGTCATTAACATAGCTTCTTCAGCTCTAATAGGTTGTTGACTAACAAAACCAAACAAACAGAATGAGAATATAAACAATCTACCAGTTTGGTCGGAACAACTTTATGAAAAGTAACATGCACGTTTGAGTTAAGATATAGCTCTATGTTATATCTTCTAGTAGAACTTTCTAGTGGTGGATGGTGATTTTATCAGTTAATTACGAAGAAGTGTCAAACAAATTCATCATGTTATGAACCACCATCAAATGTTGTAAACAAAGCGTGTTTTTTATGTTCGCAACGATAGTCTACCTTGGTGTGACAAGCTTTTCTACATATAAGTGAGTCGCGTTAATCCGAAACCTCATTGTCTATACAGTAATACCTAAAACCTCGACATGATGACCAAACATTTGAATATTTCTTACTTAATCTCTCAAATACTATTACTTTGTATATTTATTCTTGGCTTATGGTTCAAAAACACGAATGAGAAACTGACTAGTTTTTTTATTTTTGCAACCCTTTTACGCAAAGCTAAGTTACTTTAGAACTGTTAAAAACCAGTAATTCCTCTGTAGTCTCTCTGAAACTACGATGAACATGCCAAGTTACTGAAGTAAAACAAACTTAGAATCTGCCACAACAATTAGAAGATTATGTCATTAAGAATAACATATTACTGCTTTTTCTTTTTTAGATCCATAGCTTTTATTGAATACATTTTGTTGGTATTCTTTTATTCTTCAACGAAATCTTGCAAACCAAATGCTGATGGACAGTTTACTAGTCTGGAATTGGGTAGTGCTTCTAATGTTACCGCTGTGGTAGGCAGTGATATTTACTTTATTTGTTGTGGTGGTTTACGGTGGACATATGAAGTAGAAGATGATTACACAAGTCGAGAGATTGGACCACATCCATATGCTTCTATTGGTTCGAGCAAATCACCACCCGATTTGAATTTTGATGACAATCTGTCTCCAAGTATCAGCAGTAATATGAAAGATTCTACAAACTTACAAAACACAGTGCCAACCACAGTATACACGATGCATGATGATAAAGGTCGGTTAATACTACGTATAGATAATGTCGATGTACAAGATATGGGACACTATAAGTGTCATGGCCACAGCACAAGTTTAGATGCATACCTAGTGGTGGTCGACAAAAACTATCCCGAAGAACCGCAAAATAAAACATTGCCAAATGTCGGGAGCATGATAACACACTATATGATGTTCTCGTCGGACCAACTTAATAACGTAAGTGTCCGCTGTTTGTGGTGTGAATTCGGTAACATCGTTTGCATGATAGTTATTTGCAGCTGATCTGTACCAGGATGAGTATGTTGACAACTAACGCTTCTTTGCATCACTTAGTATTGTCATATATATAACGTTCTTATTATCGACAATAATTAATTTAATAAAGTATTTACCAAAAACCTGTGTCAGAAAGCTCTCTTAGCCTATGTCAGCTTGAGTTAATGTGAGGCGTAATGAGTAATAGTAATGAGTATAGTATCTAATAGTTCTCTTTGTTGCATTCTATTAATATGAAATATTGTCTTTAAAAAATAGGGGATTTTTCATAGACTGTTTTTTCATAGACTATTTTATCTCAGTTTTTTCCGATTTATTACTCATGTATGGTGAAATCCCCTGGTGATCAATTATGAGTATAAGCACAAAGTATTGTGTGACGACATGAAATCGACTGAAGGAGTTGCAGATTTCTGTGAGCCAAAGTGGTTGGGACGTGTAATACATAGTCTCAGTCACAGCCTACCTCGACTCATCATGTTTTCTAGAGCATAAATAAAATAGAAGAAAAGTGAAGATGGCTAAACCATCAGACTATGAATTCATCCAATGCTGAATTGAGTTATACTGTTCTGTATGGACTACTTAGTTGGAGTCCACACAAAAATCTCTATCCAAGGCTGGAGACTTTGGATATAGCTCAGAATCGATATTAATGATATAACTGAATTCTCCATTTGTTTTTTCTCGGATGCATCATTTTTTCTGTACCTAGTTCTTTCTACTAACGCCAATATTGCTTTGACTCCTTTTTTATTCATACTCGGAATTTCAATTTACTACATCGATGCAATATAGAAACCTTAGTCGGTACATATTTACATGAGGTTCTGCGTTATTTATCAATATATGACCAATCAAAGAATCTAATTAATTTAAAAATTCTAACCTGACACTTGACCGTTGAAGATCAGTTGATATGATCAGATGGATACAGTTTTTTTATAGCCTCCGTTTACGATTCCTACTCATGAACTTCATTAATTTTCATGTATTACCACATAACTTCATCTGTAGTTGTTTACTAATTTTTTGACTTTTTAATGGCTAAGAAAACAAACAGATATTAAAGTCCATTAATTTATTTCAATACATTTTTTTCAAAGTAAGTTAAACAACGATATTTTTGATACCTTTCTTAGTAATGGCATCAATTACTCCACTTTTCATATACATGAATGAGTTTTGATTAGTCTCATTTGGCGTATGTGCACGTGACGTGTTTATAACCATATTTGCGGGTCTTCTCTCATATACTGATTACGGTTAGCAGTAAAATCCCGGATGCATTTGTCTCGTATTATTTTAACTCGTAAGAAGAATGTTACTGTGTCACACTGATATAAACTTAATGAGAGTTATAGAAGTCAGTAACTTTTTTTGACTCGATCGATCAGAGGATGATGTATTGTTATGCAAAGTGAAAAGTACTGGGTGTGAGTTTCAGTATATAAACTTTGACACCGAGATTCAAGTACATTCAGTTGATGGGTCTCAAATTAAACAAAGCACTCATTTTGATTTCTAGCCATTGTTCAACCTTAATATTTTGTTTAAACACTAAAAAATAGTACGTGAATCGAGCAAAAATATCGCTATTTTGATATGGTAGAAAAACAATGTAGGTTTATAGCTACATAATTGATTATCTGGATTGATATAGAGTAGTTGAATAATAATAATAAACTCATAGAAAAATAAAAAATTACAAATCCATTGTATAAAAAAGAAACAATCAGAGAGAGAATTTTTTTGAAAATCAGTCACGGACTTATATCCATTGGAGAACCATTGGAATTTAGCGACTGAATAGTCATTTCATCCTATACTCTTTTACTTTGTTAGGAATATACAACCATGTTCTTATAATGGACTTAACCCCGGAACCTCGGGTGTGGAGGTAAAAATCGTACTTTTAAATCATTTTGTTGATGTAGTTGTAAACTAGGATTAAGCGTTTGTCCAGGATCCCCTAGATTTGAAATGGAGTCTATCTTCTTCTTCACAAAGCAATCAACTGAGTTTAGTTCGATTGAATGAACAATCTATAAGACAAGGTACCTTGAAATATGTCGAGGAACTCTAGTTGATATAGATCTCACGTTAATTGACACTTCTCGTCATTTAGTCTAGTAGCTACATCGTCACTTGATCGACCAGTTGTGAATGTAACTTTTCTCTGTAATTCTGGAGTGATATATCCCCACAGTAATAAAGTCAACTAGAGAACCACTATGGAAATAGTAAAATCATTTTAGTTTTTTTCCATCAGACATCATCAGTTGACCTCCATAGCATCACACATATAGAAGGAAGTTTATAACTTTTAGACCTTCTCAAAACATGTGACATATTTTAAGATTACTTAATAAATATTTGAAAGTTCTTTCTAAGCGAAGATAAATAGTGGTTAGCAGTGGAATTCAGGATGTGTATTTCATCCTATTCAAAACTCGTCAACTGAATTTATCTACCTCTCGAAGTTGATGTTCACTCTGAGACTCAAACCCAATACCATTTACTTTGAACACCATCCCATTATCCACTTAGCTACTGATAGTCGCTTACTTGTACAATGGAGTGAATTTAAAATTTCACTTTTTTTTTCTTATAACATTGATAAATTGATTTTATTCTTGATTGGTTCTTGTAACTTCTAAGTGAACAGTTATTCTCCAGGTATATACAAAATATATTCAATATCTAATATAAGCAACAACAACAACAACAAAAATCAATATGTATTTGACATAGACTGTCATATAAAAAGTGAAATAATTTACATTGTTCATGTAAAATAATAATAAGGCATTTAGAAATGGCAAAATACTATTTATTCTCTATGAATTGTATATTGTTGTTAAGTGAATAATCCTAGTTGAAAATAAATGCAAATATAAATCACTGTTTAATTAACTAACTAACTAACTAACTAACTGATTTCTTAACATGAAGTTACTAACCAACTTAGACTATTTAAAGAAAGAGAAAAAAGAAAAAAGGAAGGAAAAAAAGAAAGAAAGAAAGAGAAGGAGTGTGTGTGTGTGTGTTTGTGACGTGTATTCACATATACACAATTTATATGGAAATACTACAAAATAATTAAGGTTTTCTTCATTTATCTATGTGCTTTTTTTATACACATTATTTTCAAGTGGATTTTACATTCTGGTAATGGTGCATTTTTATTAATGAATTATATAAAATGATAAATGATATTGTCTAGATCTCTACAAGTTTTACAGTAAGATTATTCGGTTCTATTTATAAATTGTATTTATTATTGAAAACGTTTATCTGTTTCATTAAATTACCTAAGGTAATCAATTATCAATAATATAAATTGGATCTCTATTTGATTTGATATATAATTATCTTCAGAAAGGGTTTGTGAAGAGTTTAGAAATGTCACAAATTGAAATCATGATTCAATTGAAGCTAGACTATCATGGAAAACCTGGAAGCACTGGATGGCCGTTTCATCCTAGTATAGGACTCCTCAACAGTGCACATCCACGATCATAATTATCTTACAGTTATTAATGAAATTTAAATAATTCCAATGTTTCATTGAATATACTTGTTGTCTAGAACTTCTTTAGTATAATCATTGAAATCAAAATGAATAAAGAAGATATAAATATGTTTAACAATCAAATCCAATCTACACTAGATGCTTATTCAGTTATATTCTGATTTTGACTTTAAGAAGTAGGATAATATAAATAAGTTAGTTGTGAATCATGTGAAAAGTTCATAATGTGAAAATGAAGGAATGAATGGTTATGTGTATGTGTAAGTTGAAGTGATTAATTGCTGATGAGGTGTGGCAACTTGGACCGATGCATGTATGTGCTATGTTAGTTCTATGTTGTAACTGACTGACTGACTGACTGATTGATTGATTGATTGATTGATTAATAGTTGATATTAGGTATTAATTTGCCTTTTAATGGAAGTAAAAATAAGAGTGTAAATTGATAATGTTTTATTTTAAACGTCACTGTGTGTGTAAAAGGAGAACTATTGAATGCATAATTGTAATCATAAAATAACCAAATTGATTTCTATCACAACAACAGTGCATGTAAAATAAACAGGTTGGATAAAGATAGGGTCTAATTATTCATTAATGAACGTTTGTTAAGGGGTGGCTAGCTGTTCAGGTTGTTCTGATTAGCTCCTGTTGGCACTATTTCTTTATGAGTGCAAACCCTTTTTTGAAGCATGTTGTAATTATTTTTTCATATAAACTCCGTTACAGATGAAGTTTTGATTGTGAACAAGGTGATGAGGAATATTGTGACTCCCTTTCCGTTCACACTGTGGAAGAGTACCTTTTATTGTAGCAACTGAAGTAGAGAATGCTTTAAGAGTGATCTTGACAATGAGAGAGCGTGATTACAGAGACAAAGGCATAACAGTTTGAGACAGGTTTGTAAGGTACTATAGATATGCTAGCTCTATACTCCCCAGACCTTACAGCTTTCAATAGAAATCCGAGAAGTGAAATGTGGTGTCCTATTTTTTGTTCCAAAATTTTATTACTTTCTCCTTTGATTGCACGATCTCAACATCGTTGAAGACGATCGTTGTCAAAAAACAAAACCTTACAACTGTCACAACCCGGTACAGTTAGAAATCAAAATTCACCCTGGGATCATGAGTTTGCTTGTTTTATGTTTACCGCATTCCAATAAACTTGGATGGCATGCTAGGGTCTAAAATAACAAGTATTCTATCCAGTTAAGCTTGAATGAGTCTTCAAGATAGGTAATCTCAGTCACTACGTTAAGGTAGAAGCTACAATAGGATGACTATCAACTGACAATTTATGCATAAAGACTAAAAATCAAGGGAAAGCGGGACAACTGTTAAATGCTAATTCTGATTTATCCAGTATTGTCAAGTTATGGCTACCCGTGAGATGTGAATCAGGACTCAGAGACCTTCAGTTAAGTATAATATCTATAGAGCACAGAGACGTGGGATCTAATGAGTCATCATTTTTTCAACTACAGTCAGTTTATGTCTTACTATATTACACATCGAAATTATACATAATTTCAATTATTCGGACTTAAATGTTTAACTATTACAATTACATAACTTACTTTGAATGGGAAATGAAGAGGGACATTTTACACCTAGAATGAATCCTATTATTGTTGATCTAATTGTTCAGCACCCATTTTCTTTCTGCACAATACCACTAGAGCTTAATTCATGTAGAATGTATATATGTTTACTTTTATTCATCTTTTTATCTTACGTTATAAGAATTTACCCACTTTAATATTTTATACTTCAAGTACAATCCAAAGATTTATACTCGGTCCAATTTTTATGGCAAGAATTTTAATAACTTTTATAAAACAATCATATAAATGTGTGTATCATTTATTCTGGGGTATTTTTTAGAGTTTTTGTTATAATCTAGTCGAATTACCGATCGGATTTTGTTCAGCTATACCAACATGTTAATAACAGCCAAATATAGATAACACTAGCTGCTAGAAATTAAATTGTCACTAAAAACTAAACTTTATTATGGATGGAATATATCTAGCAGTGAAATTCAGGACACATGTTTCGTCCTATTTCGAGCCCTCCACCTGGATGTACCAGCATTCCAGAGTTTATTGTTCACTACAGTAGTCGAACTAAGTACCGTTCACTTCAAATGCCTTTGTGTTATTCACTTATGTACTTAAACGATACAGCCGCCTACTTGTTCGATGAGTATGAGATTTAATTCAATTTGAAATGGTTTGAATTATCGCTTTATTGGTATTTCTGACTATCAACCAAAGCTGATCAAATTTCAGTCAAAAATATCAACAGTGAGATAACTCAAACCATTTCAAAATGAATTAAAACTTTACTGTATAGCATGGATCTAATAAATGAAGTACTGAATACAACACACTTATTGTACATTGTTTATCAGATAAAATAAAATAATACAATATTAAATTATTTGGAATGTTAATAAATTATTGTTTTACTAAAAATCATAGGTCAAACTAATTTGTCCATTGGTTGGAACACAAAAAGTTAAATCATGGCTATGGCGTGAACCAGTATTACCAAGTTCAACAGAATATGCTCAATTACCACAAGGTCGACCACCAAGTCGTACTGTTACAGCTATAAAACCAGGTTTACATGAAGGTAAACATGTAGAAATTGGTTCAGATTTGTCATGGGCACGTATTGTTGATCCTTTATCACCGGAAGCCCCGATCAAATTATGGTGTCAATTTACAATGCCCGCTCCATGGGAAAATAAAGTTAGTTCATTTAATGTTTATTTTATCTATCAATAAAGCTGGAGTTTTTTAAGTAAGACATTTTATAACATTTTCTTATTCGTACTTACATTATGTTAATCAGTAGTAATGTTTTTATCAATCATAGTAATTGTAACCAGAAGATGCTAAATCTTATTGCGTTCAATCCATTATGGGACTCTAGCTTTGATTCAAGATGTGTATACTCAATGTAATCAACAGTTTCTAGCCACTACTATGTACTACTATGCACAATAAATTTACAATAGTTGCAGTAAGATGCGAACAGCTTGTTATATATTACTGGACTTCCTCATTCTATGGATGCCAATATTGTGCATTAATCAGTGTTAACCTTGTGCGACCATAAGTAAATACTAATAAGAATTCATAAAATGGAAGTTGAAACAGTCGTTTATTACTTCTTGATTTTCAGTATTTCCATGACTACTATCTATATTCCGTACACAAACTACCTTTGACCTGTACTTTAGTTGTTTACTGAGATGTAATTAATGTGAATGACTAGCCAGCTGTTGATTTTGACGAATTCTTATCAGTAAAGGTTGAAAAGTGACTTGATATTACTGTATTTAGTAATATGTATATTTAAATCAAGTAGGGGAGATGGGTAACTAGTTATAATATTTTTCTTTACTAAATCATAAGTTGAAATCGACACTGCTTCATGCTAATAGAACTTTGTTAGAGTTAGTCGATAAGTATACTTTTGGCTGTTAGATATAAGTTAAATTGTGTCTTTTGTAACACCGATATAATCATCGACTGTATCAATATCACATATATCCTACTATATAAAAATTGAACAAGTTGTTTTATGACTGTTAAGATTTATGTAACTTTCAAGCTAAACATCTGAAATCATTAACAAATCCTGCTTTGAAAGTGCCATTTTGAAGAATTTAGGTCAGTCATAAATCATGAAAAACTGACAATCACAGTTATAGTGTTAGATACTAACTTGTAACTAGTGTTTAGCCATTGTACCTGGTGAACCCATTACTTTTAAGCCACTGAATCTTAATTTAGCAATAGGCCTTCTTGTTTTAGTCACCTTATGGAAAGCGTGATTTATATTCAATTCCTTTAGTGAATCTCTGTTTTATGGTCGATTTGATCTTATGGAAAGTTGTAAGACACAAAAAGTGAATTATATATTATACAAAGAGTTTAGATATCTGATCAACAATACTCTTTATTTGTTACATTTGTCTTTGTTAGAACTATAGAATAGAATCATATCAAAGTTGATGAATAGTGCATTTTATTTAAAGTGGTTTGAGTGAGACTATAATTTATGGACGACCTTTGAGCGACGCTAAAGTGACCTTCGGAATGTCCATCTACTTGGTAGGGTTAAATGATGGTTATAAATCAGTATGAAAAGTATAGATTATAATTTACAATTGATAGTTGGGGTTAGGAATTAAATATGGGGTTTTCATCACGAACTGAAATAAGTGAAAATGCCAAAACGCTATTTAGACAATTGGATGAGTGAATTTCGCGCCAAAACCCAACAGCTGTCATCCTAAATCTGATTGGTTCGTCCATAAATTATAGTCTCGCTGTGGTTTGCTAAGCAAAAAAATATATATGATTGTTCTAAAGTCATTTATGTAATAGATTTTACTAATACTAACTGTTCAACGAATAATCTTCATCATCAATGTGTTTAATCATTAATAATAACTAACTACTTACGACTAATATGCAATGTATCCACCAATTTAAGTGACTCAACTTCTTCGTAAACTTTATTTGATTGTAGTCATTTGTAAAAAAACGTTCACGTAACCGTTGTAAATTGATACGAACCTCATATCACATAATTAGAGCACCAATTTTCATATTATTCACTAAACCACTAAATATTCATAAGATAAATAAACTCTCTTGATCATAACGTATAAGTATGTATCTAAAGATAGATATATTCCAGGACGGAATGTATAAAAGAGTAAACTTTCTTCCAATCTATGTAAGATACCATTAGTATATATTTATGTATTTAAACATGATACATTTCGTTGTGGTCTTCATCAGAGAATCTATTAACAATAACTGAAGTAAATATGCACTATTGAGAAGTCCCATACTAGAATGAAACGGCCATCCAGTGCATCAAGGTTTTCAATGGTGGTCTAGCTTATCAAATTTGCTACCATCTCCACAAATCCCCCTTTCTTATATTAATTGAAATATCCATAGTTATTTCATTTGAGTCAAGTAATCCTAAAAAGCAATTACTGATAAAATTACATGAGATCGTATAGAATACAAACCGATTTTGTAAACAAACAAAATGACTATTAAAACATTCTGTAAGTAATAGTGTCAGCCATACTTCCATATAAATTAGGCTATTTGTAAAATATGGATTTATACTTTATTTAGGATAATAATAAACCTCTTAAGATTCTATTCTATCATATTTATACACGCATCTACATAAAATGTCTATTTATATACAATTGAGTGAGGAAATGCGAAGAAAAACATCTTTTCCGTTTTTTAAGGTGATTTATAGGTAGAATTCTGATAGTGAATTAGTGGGTTATTGATTATTTGTAGCAAATTTTTTAATCATTGTTTTAAGTTATGAGTATTATTTTGCTTAACTTTTAGAATTGAATCAAATCATACTACTGAATAACTTAAAAAGTAATATAGTAAGTGAGAAGTTTAAGTATTGAAAGCTACCCACACCAAACGAATTCATTCAATGGTTCCATTCTGTATAGTGAACAAGTCAAGTTTATATATATATATATATAGCCCCTATGGTCACGGCTTCTCGCTAGAACTCCAAGAATTCCTTCAGAATGCTAGTCACTAGTGAACACACGGTAATTATTAGTTTAAGTTAGACATTAACGCTGTTGGATACCGACTCAGTGATCTAAAGGTTGAGCATTCGCACGCGAGGCTGAAAGTCCTGGGTCCGAATCCCGCTAGCGGCGTCGTGGGTGCGCACTGCTGAAGAGTCCCACAATAGAACGAAATGACCGTTCAATGCTTCCAGGTTTTTAATGGTGGTCTAACATCAATCGGTTAATGGTCTCAATAAAATTTAATGGTTATCACCAGAATTATTTAGAAATCGGGATCAGGATTATAGTTCTTTATCGTCTAAGGGTATTTTCTCATCTCTAAGGCAACGTCCTGAGTTTGGAATGATTGTACTCTCTTACTAGCAGTGACTAAACTTAGGTTGAAGTTGAGATGATTTTAGCTATTATTGGTTCAGAACATGACATTGTTCAACCTCCGTATTGAATTCGGTGAGGCAACACGGTTGGAAAGCTTCTATTATCGTATATTTTAATCATTTGTAGGTTTAAATCCATAAAATTATAAACTCTAACACCTTTAACTTAAAATTGCACTTAACACATATATGACAAGGACAGTGTAGCAACAGATCAATAAATAACTGTCGATATCCAAGAAATAGTAAAATGTATCACAATGGTAAAAATGTTCAACGAATGATTACGATACACGGAATATATAAATCTAATAGTCCAATCGTCTAATGGTTGTACAACAACACTGAAATAACTAAAACTGTTTAGTTAAACAACTACTGAAAATCTGGAAGGACTGGACGTCTGTTTCGTGCAAGTATGGGACTCCTCGGTGGTGTGAATCCGTGGCCCAATTACTATGGAATGAACCCAGGACCGTCAGTCATGAGCGAGAACCCTAACCTATAGACTATCGACCGTCTAGAGTCCATAGGCTTGTGATCCCAATAAAATTCAACGATTTCCACAACCCTGATATGGGAAACCAATCAGAAGTAGCCTAATCAGAAGGTCAATCGATGGTAATCAAAAGTGACCTAAAGAATAAGTTCATTTTATTGACGAAGAAATGGATCAATTTCCTATATATATAGTATTTGTGTATTTTATTCGCTTAACTTATAGACCATTAAGGTGACTTCCAACATTGTTAATGTCTAATTCCCATGGTATGTTACCAATTATGAAAGTTGCGAATCGATATTGGATGTTCCAAGGATAATAATCTAAAAGAATTACTTTCATAATATATAATGAATATTCACTTTATTTAATAATAAAATATAATGTACACAAATTGATATGATATTTAGGGATTCATTTTCAAGCCTTATATTAACTGAATTTTTTCTCTAATAAATTACAAACTGTGTAGGTTAATGAAATTCAGATATGATTATTATCAAGCTTACTTTAACTGACTTAAAATTTCAGTGGTTGAGATCATGAGTCAATTAGAGCTAGAACATCATGGAAAATCTGAAAGTACTGGACGGCCGTTTCGTCCTTTTGTGGAACTCCTCAACAGTGCGCATCTACCAGTCCGCCTAGAGAGATTCAAATCCAGGACCTATCGGTTGCGCGATCGAGTACCTAACCACTAGGCTATGATCTCAACCATTAAAATTACTATGATATTCACAAAAGCCCTTCCGACTTAAAATGAACAGTTATCTTTGTATTAAATCAATCTTCATACTTTTGTCTCTAATATGATTTTTCGTTTTTCTTTTTTTCAGGATCCAATTATTGCATACTATGAAATTGATTGGGAATTATATGAACCAATCTCACCGCAAATTTATATTCTACCAGGTGATAAAGAATTTAACTTTGAAGAGATAAATCAAAATCTCTCAAAATCTATTCTATCTAATCAACAATTAATAAATCAAGATCAACATGCAATCATTGCTCACAGTATTAATGCACAAATTGATGAATCTATTAAATTAGCTAATTTGAAAAGTCCAAATAAATCAATATTATTAGAGAATAAACCAGCTCGTATCGCGTGTCGATTTCGTTCAATTCCATTAACTGGTATACCAAATCCACAATCAAATTCATTAAGAATACAAAATGTTTATTGGTATCGTAATGGCCATTCAGTTCATGTTCCACCATTCTATGTTGATAATTCATTAATTACTCCATATGGTTTATCAATTTTATCTGTTCGTGCCTATCCAACTATATTTAATTTTAGTCAAATTGGTGATGAGAAATCATCAACAGTAACGGTGGTTGGAAGTAGAGATAAATATAAATTACCTATTGAACATTTAACTTGTTCCGTAATAAGTCGAGTGAAAGAAACACCAATTTACAAGGTTACAACAAATGCAAGGTTGGTTTAAATTTTTCCATTTAGTTTCTTTTCTTCAAATGCTAACATAAAGAATGGTAACCTGGTAAAATGTTACTGTAGTGAACGAGAACACCAGTGGCGAAAAATAGATATATCTGAATACAAAATTACAGAATCTCTTAGTAAAATTTGAGAACCATACAGTAAATGCTTTATTTGAAAAATGTTAACCATTTGTCTCAGACTTGATTACTTCTTCGTTTCCACACCCATCATTATCTGTTCTTGTTCTCTTCCCTTCGATCTTCTTAACCTTTTGCCGCCAGGCAGAACACTTTCGATTCATGATACATACTACTCATATCTGTCAACATCAGTAGCATACCACACTTAAAAGTATATTTAAACTTTTGTATGTAAAGCAATTAGAAAGGGAAAATAAACAAAATTGTGTTAGTACTATATATACTTCTCTATTGCCAATCACATGGTCGAAATAAGTTATAAGACTAGTCCCTGCTCTTCAGAGATATTTAGCAACACCAGTAAAATGTGAACAAAAAAGAATTTTTACAATAGATATTTTGATTCGTCTACAATAATAACATAACTTTTGAATGCTAATGTTAACATAGTTTATTAAAAGGTATAATTAGATTCAACTAGTCTATATCAGAACAGGACAAAAAGTAGGTGGTTTTTTGTTGTTTTAAGATTGTAGTTCAATTCAGCGCAAGAATGTTGTAGTTTGAAAACAAATCTCCTAATAAAAACACAAATGAGCCGATATCAACAATCCTATCGACATGTCGGTATACATACCTGTCCAAGATTTTATTTATTTAATACAACATGGCTGCGGTTTTTTAGTTGAAAGGACCTGAAAAGATCTAATCGAGTTACTTTGATCAAAGTGGAATAACAGTCTATTTAATATTTTCTTAGCGTACTTGTTCATCTTGACAGTTTAACAAGCGGTTAACACAAGTGTGATGAGCAAAGAGAAAAATCTTTGGAAATTCTTAAAAATCTGTAGTCTTCCTGTTTTAATTCAAGCATAATATATTGAATAACATTTTGTATGAGAAACTAGCCGTGATGACAGAACTGTTTGTAATTTCTAATGACTTCAGTCACTGAACAGAAAGGATATCATCTATTTTTTCTATGTTTTTATGTATTCATCGATTTAACTTTGTTTAGTACAAAAGTGGTCTACTATTAGGCAAAATAGTTAACCGATTCGTGAATGAGGTCATTCGTAATTAGGAAAAGATGAGAAGTCAATAAGCAGCTTACTTTAAATTACATTTATTTGTGAAAATGTGTTTTTTCATTTCCAATAAACGATTCAATTTTGACGATTGTGTAGGTATATTTGTAACAATTCGCCAATGACAAACTCGACTATTTTACATTGACGCTGTCGATGACTACGTCTCAGGTGATTAAAGCATTCATCGTGAAATGTACTCATTATTTAGAGGGGATTCTGATAGTATATTCACCTTTGAAGTTAACTCGATTTTCGTGAATCTCAGAATAGTGTTTCTTGTAACCTAATTTCAATTCATAGGACTGTTTATTGCTAGGATTTCTTTTTAACTATTCTTTTATATTTATTGCTTAGAGCTCGAAATGATCCCATTCTTTTACTGGTTTTTTAAACTTATGAATAATGGATGAATTGGACAAATCATTCTTTAGTTAGAATATTCTAGGTGTAAGATGGCTAGAATAAGCCTACAGAAAACCCTGTATTTTGCTTTGTGTTAGTTGATACAAGTCAAACAAGTGTATCGCAAATCTTGAGGGGACAGAATATTTCCGTGAAGTACAGACCCCTGTCTCCCACTTACATATTCTGAAACGTTGCCACTCAGTTGTTCAGCTGTCGACTAACCTCCTGTAGGACTGTGGTATTTACAACTGATTGGTCACTGAGGACGACCAATGTCATCTTTATCTAATCATTTAGTGAGGATCGATTTGACTTCCCAAAATAGTAATATTTATCAAAACATACTTAAAGACATTTCACTTCTTTAGTTTCATTAAATTACTTACTTCATTTAAGAATGGGACAAATGACCTTAAGTAACCTGGCAGATTTCTTTTAACATATAGTATTATTATTAATCGTGTAATAATATAAACTGAATACTACCCGATATATGTATCGAGTGTTGGTTGATAATGAAGTATTTCCTAAGCGTTTTTAATTAAATTATTAGTATGAATACTGTCATGAAACTTCACTAAAATTATAATCCCGAAGGAATTTTCATTAAGTCGATCGTTTCCCAATGATCTGTGCTAACCTTAGATTGTTTTTGTTAGATTATTTTTTCACTCAAGTATGTCACCCTCTATAGTTAAGATTTTGACATAGTCCTAAAAAATAGTTGGCACACACATTTGAATATAATTCGTTATTGGCTAGTGTGTTCAAAATCCGTTACTTTTTAAGATTATGTTCATCGAATATTACTTTTTAGAAGAATATTACAAGTGTTTTATACATGTTCATCATTTCTAATCAAAACCAGCGTAGGAGAATTTCAAGTCCGGTGGGATTTATTGTAATTTCATGGGTAACAATTACAATTACTCGACTGATTTAAATAAGAAGTGATAATCATCTGTAAGCAAAGCTTATCAGTTAACTCTGAACTTATATACAATATAGTGGTCTTCGAGATACGTGAAGTTCTTGAGTTCAATCCCCTATATATATATATGGTTGTAGACCAACTGATAAACAGTTCCATACTAAGACGAAGTAGCAGTTCAGTGTTAACAAGTTTCAATGATCTTTTATTTAAGTTCATAAAGTAAAACATAGAATTCAGTAATTTCCACAAATCCACTTTACTAACACGTATGCCTGAACACCGATTACCACGACGTGCAATGCTATCCGGTATTGGAAATGGTTGGAAGAAAGTTAGGGGTGGCCAAACCAAAACGTGGCATCAGTGCTTGAAGTCACTAACCTCTAGTCTGAGCCATTTTGGTAGATGCAGACTACTTGGTTGGGGTCCGCGTGACTATCGTAACCAATGGTTGGAGACTCTTGGTGACATGGCTCAGAATCGATCACAATGGCGTCGGTGTATACACTCCCTGTCTTCCCTTAACCTATGAGATTAAAATCGCTTCATATCTTTCTTTCTACGAACCAATTCTTTCTTCTTGTACTATATCTCTATATGCAATCTTTTTTTATATATTACCACCTTTTACCTAACCACTGTTATGAATCTGGTGTTCATCTTGTTGTGTTGATGCGGTATGGCAACCTGGACCGATGCACACATGTGCCTGGTCCTACGTTGTAGCTGACTGACTGACTGACTGACTGACTGACTTTACTAATAATATCAAATATTTGTCAATACAATCCACAGTTAATGTTACTATAACACTGTAAGCAAGGTTTCTTGATGATCATTCTATTTCAGTCGGAAATTCATCGAAATTTAATAACCCACATTATGTACCTTAATTCATTTACAACGTTTAACGTACTTGAGGATGGTAATTCTCTTGATGCATACTGTTGTTGAATTACAATCTATAACAAACCAATCTTTTTAATAATTCTTAATTTTACAATGAATGTTTAACTGATACCGTCTAATAATGAAATTTAACTTGGAAATATTATTGAAGAGTAAAATAAATATATTTTACTCCATAATATTTGTAAGTTTTGTTTGATAAAAGTTTACTAACTAAACTAATTGCATGAAATTCCTAATACATCAATGTAAATAGTTTGTGGAGATTGTTGAATTTCATAATTTTGCATCATCGTCTAACTTTCGTTATATAACCGTTGATCAACACAAAGCACTAGAAAAAAGCTTCATTATAGAATCAAGTTTTTTAGCAGTATACTTCGCCAAATGTATTGAAGACCGAGCCCAATACCTTCTGGAGTTGGAAAACCCTGGTTCCAAATCAGTGGTGCACATGGGCTCCAATATCCTGAGGAGACAAATGGCGTATGAACCAATTATTGGTCACCGGCTACCATGGGACAGGATCTCCTTACGTTACTCTACTGCCTTATGGATCAGACCTTTAGGTCAAAGGCTCCCGGTGTGGCCCCCTAAGAAAACCACCTGCTTAAGTTTGGGCACCCGGGCAGTATCAAATGGGATTTGTGTAGTGAATATGTATTTAGTTCCCCCGTGTACCAACATCTGTGTGTTCAAATAAATAAATGACAAAATAACTCTCTAATGCTCCCTAGTTATTAAGTTTTTGTTTAATGAAGCTCTCTTAGTGATGTTAACTCTTAACTGACTAATCCTTACAAATTCTTTCTCCTAATAACTTTTATCAACTTAAACAATGCCATTTTATGTTCAGTCAGAAATTAGTTTCAATAATTTTTGTTCACGTTTAAATAGTGAAATGAATTTGCTAATAGTTAACTATTCTTTATATCAAACTTATTAATTTGGAAATTTAACTTGGATTTTTTTTGCATTCTTGTTATAGCTTGTGGCTTGTGTGCCCTGTTAATGTATAACGTAATAATACTGACAATTAGAGCTCAGTGAATTATCGATCAGACCAATGACGAATAAAAACCCGTACGTGCAATCTATAGTCCTTATCTGTCCTGCTTACCGCCTAGCCTAGCCAGTTAAGTCCAGAACACCAATCTCAGCCTCTGCAATATGAATCATTTATTTAAAACATACTGGGTTTTATGTACCAACCAGATAGACCACATCGTACCAATAAAATAGGAAACAACATTTATACAAGAATTAGCCAAATATGACCTTGAATGTGTGAGGTATTGATTAATAGACAGGGCATAATTCAAGAATGGTAAATCGTACAAGAATAGTTCATAGGTCAAAATAAAGCTCATAATAAAAGGGACACGAATATGAATAGTTTAGTTATTTAACAATTATATGATAAAAATATACGTTTAGTATTGGTCCATAAATGGGTCTCAAAAGTTACCATTTATTATGCTTTTTGGGACATAACAGTTCTTAACCATTAGACCATTGAGCCGGCATTCAACGGTGTTAATGTCTAACTTCAACCAATCCACGAAGTTGCGCCACCATATACCATTGTCTTCAGTGAGCTGATATCTCACAACAGACCTGGTTGTACTTCACTGGTGACGGCTTCCCACTAGAACTCCAGGAGTATCTCTTGAAGTCAATCACTAGTGAGCAGATGATTATTATCAGAAGGGGTTTGTGGAGATTTTAGAAATTTTCACAGATTTAAATCATGAGTCAGTTGAAACTAGACCACCATTGAAAACCTGGAAGCACTGGACGGCCGTTTCGTCCTAGTATGGGACTCCTCAGCAGTGCGCATCCACGATCCCGCACCACGCGGGGCTCGAACCCAGGATTCATGATTTTAATATGTGAAAATTTCTAAAATCTCCACAAACCCCTTCTGAACATAACAATTCTCCTAAATTATGTCCTTCTGTTTCTTCTTATTCAAGATGTAAAAGAAAAAGAATTTAACTAGGATCATCTTGATAAATCTAGTCAAAAAAAATACAAAAAAAACGTTACAGCATAAGTAAAGGGTATTTGGTAAAACTGAACTTACTGACCTCAATAGTTTAATCTATAAAGTAAACATAATGAGAAAAATCATATTCAAAACGTTATAAATAGATCACTTATTTTATATATCAGTATGATTTTTTATCTTTTATAATTAGAATATATAAGTTTTGCTTTGAGTTGTATGACAAAAATATTATCTTCTTAGCTAATTCTATAAACTATTAAAAATTAGAGAAATTGATTATGTACATTGACAGATTCAATTACTTTTTTAGTGAAGTATTTAAACCTTGAGTATTACACTTTATCATTTATGTAACAGATTTATGTGACATCATATTATTGATCATCGACTAATATGAGATTGTAACTCCTCAAGTTGCTACGCTGTTTTATGGATTAAACTGTCAGGTTAAAGGCTCAGGGTGTGGCCCCCCTAAGAAAACCACCTACTTCAGTTTGGGCACAGCCCTCACACGAATCAATGATAAATACTACTGGCCTCTATGTTATTGTGTGACGCATATATCTTTGATGCCCCTTTGCACCGATACTTATGTGTTCAAATAAGTAAATAACTATTCTTAGATTTGATTATTAACAAAAAGCCGATTAGGTTTCATTAAATAGTTATATTATGTCAACAATCCCGTTACATTCGACTGTGTTTACCAATTTACGTATGTGCCTATATGAATAAACATATGTCAGAAGAAGTAATCATGATTTAAAAATAATGGTAGTTGAATATCTACCAGTATGACTAAGAAACAAATACAATCGAATGGTCTATTAATCAACGCAATACAATTGTCGGTAAGAGGTTGTGAAGTTATAAACCAATCTAAGATTTCTATAAGATTCAACAATCTCCATAATTTCTTACTGATAACTATCATGCAATCACTGGCGACTACCTTTTAGAGGAAGTTTATAGAGTTCTAGTTAGAAGCCGTTGCTAAAAGAGCTAATCCCTGTCGGGTGTGGGACAGTTACTTGTCGAAGACAATAGAAGATAATCACGGAATGTTGTGGATCAGTTGAAGTTAGACATTAACACCATTATATTCCGACTTAGTGGTTTAGAGGTTACGGTTTCGCACGCGAGACTGAAGGTTCTGGATTTGATTCCTTTTTAGTGAGGTTTCGTGGATAGACCTAATGAGGAGTCCCACACTAGGAAGAAACAGCCGTTCCATGCCTTCATGTTTTGAAAGGTTGTTTAAAACTGATCGGTTCACGATTCTAGTGACAACATATCTGATCAGATTACAAATGATGATTCAGCGATAGAAATTAATGTCACAAAACAACCAATATTCTTTTATTTTCGTCTATCATTTTATTAAGGATATGACTTTTATCTTTTCATTGCATTGAAACATTGTTTGATAACGCTTTTTAAAAATAAAAGTGTAATCACAACCTGAATAGCTCAATGATAACGACTTGGACCATGAAACTGGTTGATTAAAGTTTGAACCGCCCCCAAGAAGCACCAATTCTTTCAAGACTACAGTTGCATGCTGCTAACTAAAGCCAACTAACAAAAAACCTTAGTTTAAAGTTTTGTCCCGAAAAACTTGTTAGTGAATGCAGGATGGAACCAGATATCAGATAAAAATGTTAAATGTTCAAAACTTATTCTTTTTAGTTGAGTAATCTGTGATTGATATTGTCTAAAATAAGAAATGTGGTTGAAGATAATATGCTTTCTACATGATTTGAAGTTTTACAGATTCGGTTCAATGTTAGCATGTAGATTCTCAGTGTTAAGTTAAAATTATATTGCAGAAAAACAATTGTCCCGTTTCTTTTAATTTAAATCTCATTTTTGGTTCGTTTGTTTCTCTCTGTTTAACTGTTGTGATATTTAGTTGAAAAAGTTTTGTGGAGTTTGTTTTATTTCGACAGTTATGTTCCTCATAGGTTGATCTCAGTTCGGATAATGACTGAAAACTGGGAGCACTGGACAACTGTTTCTGCTTAGTGTGCGATTCCTCTCCAGTCCAGAGCCATAACCCACCCAAGGAATGAACTCAATATCTTTGGTGCCGGGACAAAAGCGTAACCATTAGGACGACTGGATCAACCTTCAGTGGTATACATTTCCAACTTCAATCCTTTTATGATATAGCGCAACAATGATTCAATACGATTAGGAGTAACAATTTCAATCCAACATGCATGAGCTCCACAAAAATGTAGATTCTCTCTTAGGTACACCTTAAATGAACTTACTAGTAAGCCGAAGATTACAGTTTGTTTGAAGGAATTTAATGGAGACTGGTTTGGTTTGTAGGTGGTGTCATGCGTGTCCACTACTGTGGAATGTTATACAGCTGTTTAGTGCTCCCTTGTTTTCAATGGCACCTCAACTAGAATCAGTCTGTGACAAATACAATCTATACTATATAATATTAATAATACTAATATGACGACATTATCAATAATAATATTTAACTCATTTTTTCCCTTAATTTTTTTCCTCGTTTCCTATCACAGTCTACAAACTGAAATCATTCTTGTTCCACGTATAATACATACAGAGTTATTATCAGCTGAAAGAAGTTTAGAAGATGCAATTAAATTGACCTGTACAACTATAGCGAATGGACCACCAAATATGCGTATTGATTTTGCTTCAACAGATCAACCATCTACAAATAATGGTCCGACTCAATGGGAATCATTAAAATCACGATATGGATTAAATATAAGACCAAGACAAGTTGATCCAACTAATCCATTAATACATCGTCTCGTAATTGATATTTCTGGTAAGAAGCTTCTATGTGTTGTGATAAATTTTGAGGCTTGACATTCACATATACATAAACGTGGTTATGTAGTGATGTTTTGTATTTATTTGATACCTTATAGTATCCTAACTAGTTAGGGTGAATAAGATCTATGATATGGGTTTACAAATTATTGTAAATCAATGGCTGGAAATTTAAACTGGTAAAGTTCAAAATCAAACAAACTGGAGCAAATGTACTTATTTCTAAATTTCTTCAAAACGTTTTTATCTATTGTTTGTTCATACATATAGTCTTCTACGTACACCTATTTTCTGGGTCTTAAATTTGGTTTTCATGATAAATGGACTAGTTTTCAACGTACGTTACGGCTGCGAAACGTGGCCATCAAGAGTTAAAGATATTCGCAAGCTACTAGTAATTGATCACAGATCTCTTAGAAATATTGCTCTCATCTGCTGGGATTATCGGGTAATTAATAGTGAGCTTAGACAAAGGGTATTAGGGAATGATGTTAAATTAGTTGATAAGGTTGTGAATCTTCATCGACTGAGATGGTTGAGCCAAGTGTTGCGTATACCTCAACACCGATTACTACGACACGTAATACTGACTAGTGTAGGTAATGGTTAGAAGAAAGTTAGGGGCGGCCAAACCAAAACGTGGCATCAGTACTTGAAGTCATTAAGTTCTAGTCTTAGCCATGTTGATAGATGCAAAATACTTGGTTGGGGTCCGCTTGACCATCGTAACCAATCGTTGGAGACTGTGGGTGAAATGGTTTAAAATCGATCACAATAGCGTCGGTGTATATACTCTTTGTCTTCCTGAGATTAAAATCGCTTCATATCTTTCTTTTTTACGAACTGATTCTTTCTGTCTGTACTACATCCTTACATAAAATCTTTCTTTCATATATTACACCATTGAGTTAACTGCTTCTATGAATCCGGTGTTCATTTTGTTGCAACTTAGACTGATGCATATATGTGTCTGGTTCTGCGTTGTAGCTGACTGACTGACACTTGACATGTACATTAATAATTGTTTCATTATCCTAGAAACAACTTTTAACAAATTATTTCTTCAATTGTTTTTAAAACTTATGAAAATAAGTCAAATCAAAGTGTACACATATAAATTTTTCATTTATCATTCTAGATTGTAACTTGTTTAAAGATATTCACTTTATTATTGTCATTTGAATAGTTTACATAATCCATCTAATCAGGTCTTATTTTGTGTAAATTATAACTGTTATATATTAGTTATTTTGACAGTATGTTTGTTTATTTATTTCTTGATAAATCTTTAACATATGTTATGAATTTTATTGATTAGCATGATTTGGTCTCAACTTTATTGATATCATCATTCAAATGATGTAATCATGTAACTCGATGTAAATTTGAAAAGCCTGTCTGTTGATATAAGTAGTACACACCACACTAGTAGTAACCAACATCATGTTTGTCTAGTCCGTACTGCTGACTAAATTATGTCTATTAAGTTTTTATGTGGCTACTAGTCTAAAAAAAATCGACTATGAGATTGAGTGGCACAGGTACAAATCCCACAAGATTTGTCATTTCCAGCGAGATAGCATATATGCTGTTCTGACAAGTTCCAACCAATACGAAATCTAAGTTCAGGGTTTCCTGTATGCTACCATATAAAATTAAAACATTGTGATGATTAGTCTTATCAACAAGACTTCTGATCAGCACTAAAGGATTGAACAAGAATAATATTGATCACTACGTAATGATCAATCAATGTATCATTACATGTATTTGTTAATATCAATTCCATCTAATATTAGACATACATTTTATTTGGACAGAGAACAGTTGATGATTTTCATTTTAAAGTTATTTTTCATTTATCAACCAAAGTTAATTACAAAATCATTATGAAACAAAGAGGATCTATCATTTGTAGGATCATAAAAGTGTACCATCAAGAAATTGAGAGTAGAATGAGAAAGTAATCAAATGTTTTCTATTATCTAATCGCTATCTAGTTTGCGATAGGAATAAAAGTTTCAGTATAAGGTAGTGAAGATCGTTGAGTTTGTGATTGAGATCATGAACCGATTGATGTTAGACCATTACTGAAAACCTGGAAGCACTGGACGCACAGTTCGTGTTATTTTGAGGATCCTCAGTAATGATCATCCACGATCCCGCTCACAGGATTCGGATCCAGAGCCTTCAGTCTCGCTCGAGAACGGTTAACTTCTAGACCCCTGAGTCGGCATCCAACAGTGTTAATGTCAAACCTGGGTTCGAATCCCACAATAAGACGAAACGACCGTCCAGTGCTTCCAGATTTTCAATAATGATCTAACATCAATCGGTTCATAATCTTAATTAAATGAAAGTCTCACAACTGATTGATCACTGAGTGGCGATCAATGTCATGCGTGTCTAGTCCTTATAAGTGCAGATCGAATGCTATCTACCATGTTAAATGTGGCCGCCAGTCTAGGTGACGTGACATTGCGGGCACTATGTATTGAGATTAGATGGTAGTTGGAGGTAGTCGACTAGAAATCCTGTACCCGGGTTCCATGCTACTTGGCACTCATCAGCAAGGCGGCTTGGATAGCTCAGTGGTAGCGTCTCTGACTGTGAAGCTGGGGGACGCGAGATTGAATCCGCCAGGGAGTACCTGTTCCATCAAGATTACAGGTACACCTTGCTGACGAGTGCCAAGTAGCACGAAACCCTTGTCCAGGGTTTCCTGTCGACTACCTCCAACCACTATCTAAATAAAAGTTTCATTTATACTTCATTTCATATATAAGTTATATCTTTGAAATCTTTTTTTTTACAATGAAACATGAATACAATGATCATTTCATTTAAAATAAATGATTCCAAATTGTAAACATTAGTAAACATCAAATAAGGATATGTATTGAATCGGTAATTCTCCACAATTGATTTTACTATAAAAGATAAACACTTACCAATTGTATTTATATAAAAATATTAAGAAGAAAGAATAAATTGAATGGAAAATTTATCATTATCTGAGATAATCGAATTTCTTCCCTTTTTTTCTTTATAAAGTTTACCTCAGGTCATTGTTCATGAATCGATATATTTCGTTGTTTCATTTTTTAGCCTGTAAACAAACAGTAGCTTGATTCACTTAGTATTGTTTGTACTTGAATCTTCCCATTGATGTTTTAGGACTGAAATTGATCAGTCTCTTATCGGCATATGTAAATACTGTGCGTATGCCTCGATATTGCATTAATTTACAAGCATTATAAGCAAAGATGGATAGTAGCTATCACTGCTAGCCACTATCCATCTTTGCTTATAAACAATAGCTTGGTTAGATAATCTTTATTTTCTCTTTATTTATTTACTTTTTTTTGGGATCTGAAATGGTAATCATTTTACCAATGTGATGATTACATTCAGAAATAGGGTTCTTTTTTTGTTTGTGATTAAAAACTATTTCTTTTATAAAATGCCAAATGTAATCGTATCAGTTAATAATGATTATCTTACCCTTTAGGAATGATTAACTTTTGTATAGATTATTCTTTAGTTGAAAAGGATGTCATGAAGATGTATTTTGACAAGGATAGGTTTTTAAAAAAAAAGTTGAGATGCTATCGAATAAAGGAAGCATTGGATAGTTGTTTTGTTCTAGTATGGGTTCGTACTAAGATGAAACAGTTATTGAGTTCTTTCTGGTTTTCAACTTTATCTTGACTGTTATATCCGAGGAAGACTAAAGGAATGATGACTGTCAAGATTAATTTGTGGTCTATTATTGTATGTAATCTTATTGCATAATTATGAAGTAATTAGATTACTATATATATTCTTTATTTTGTGTTGTGATGTGGTTAGGTATGTCTGTACATAAACTACGTATGCCTGAAATATGATATTAGTATGGTGGAGACCGATTTATCTATCCTGGACTCAATGATCAGTGGACGATCAATAGGGGATTAGAGTTGGCTCATGGCTTCTAATGCTAGTTGGCATATCGTTAGTTAACTAATTGACGAGGTCGTAAATATCGATATTTTGATTAGTGTTTTATTATTGTTATTAGAAGCTTTATTCAACATTATATTTTTTGGTACAACATAGAATTCTCAGCATAAAGTATTTCAACAAGTTTCCTTTTCTTATACCTTGATCTATTGTGACGATAAATTTTGAATGGTGACCGGTTACATGTTAGGAGTTCGGTAATCCACATTTGATTAATTTTCATTCGTTTCAATGCATATTGCCAGCCACCATGATGTCGCTGATTGTACCTTTTTGTATACCGTATAGCGAAAGGTTGTAAACTTTTCATAAACGCGCCTGAATAGATTGTGTGCACAATAGACATGATGATGTGCTAAAACAAACAACAAAACAGATAACTTGATGAAATATCTAGATCGGAGGAACATGTAGTCCAGATATTCAAGCAGGCCACCAAATGTCATGTGATATTAATGGGCTGCCATAAGTCATAGGATTGAGATTCTTTTTCACTTCAAAATGTATTATCTATAGTATTCACTATTTGCATAAAGTATTACTTGGGTTTAAGTGTCTTAAGAAATAACAAGATTTTTGAAAAAAAAATATTTACACACTGAAAGTTGTAGATGAACTTATCTTCAGTTTTATTTAAGTCCATCTAAAAATATCACATTTGATTATTGTAGTCATCAACGGATAGTTTAAGGATTATTTAAATTATGTCAACATTTTCTATTAGCTGTTAAGATATATTTATAACGTTAAGAATACTGTAAACAAAACTCCCAACAAAATCGCTGGTTATTTTATTGCGCAAGTAATAAACAGTTAACACATGTAATCAATGAAATAAATTTTTCAATGTTTCACTTGATGATAAATTGGTTTGAGTTTTTTCAGGGAAATAAAAGGAATTCAAGATCTTTACAGACAATCAAGGTCTATAAACCTGTTATGACTTTAAGTTGTGGTCGATTTTTACCCTGTGCTAATTGTTGTGTCTTTGACTGAAAAAAAAAACTAGAGAACAGCGTATTTATCGACCGATTCAATGACACGTGAACACGTACAAACGTAATGGACGACCTAAAGTTACGATTGGTCCCGATTCCCTGTCTATTCCAGCCAGTTGAGTCCAGAACACAAATCTCAGCCTCTGAGTTATGAATCATTGTATTTCAGACATACTCTATTTATATACTAATCAAACATACCACATCGTACCATAAAAATAGAAAACAACATTTTGTACCATATTCAACAAGTGGACAGATATCGACCAGTAGGAAATGTCCATTTAAAGTCCAAGGACACCATTGGACTTAACATGATAATTATTGGTCTATCCTTCACATCCACAACAAAATCAAACTATCCTAAAAGATTGTCCAATCTAGTTTAAATGTTGACAATTCTGGTTGAGGCTATTTGTGTTATTTTTCAGAGTTTAATAATTATAAGATATCCAGCATTTTCGGATATATTTTCGTATAATTAGTAAATGATTGCTGCATGTCATAGTGTAATTTATACCGAAGATTTTAGTTTGATAATTGTATGATATCCACTTTACTCTAATATGGACATTTAAGACAGAGAATATAAATTTTATTAAGGTTAGGGCTTGAAACGAAATCTCACGAATGAGTATTTCTCTATGGCATTTCAATACAGCCTATAAAAGTAAGAGAATTGTGTAGGCTGTAAGATTCAGTTCACAGATATTTTCAAACCATTGCTTATATCTGGCAGGATCATCGAATGACCAGCTCTTAAGTTAGATGTAGGGTCCTAGGTACATATAGGGAACTAGTTGATGTGATAGTGAATCTTTATTTAACATTTTCGTCGTAAGATATGCTACATCTTCTCAGCCACCGCCTACGTTGTCAAACAACATTGTTTGAAGTAGGTGTAGGTTTTAAGATGGATGTAGGCAGCCAAACTTAAACGTGATCTTAGTCCATTAAACTATTAACTATTGAACTGGGCCACACTGGGAGTTTCAGACTATTTTATTATGAACTGTGAGATAAGTCTAATCATGGATTAGAGGAATTGAGTAATACAGCCCAAATTCAGTCTCAGTAGCTTAGAGTCATTTGCATATTATCCTCCTCTAAGTTTTGAACTTCATTATAATTTTCTATTTTTATAATTCATCCCTTATTTTCCATTTGTATTCTCTAGTACTCAGTCTTTCTTACTCTCACTTATACTACCACTACTTCAACACAAACTATTTTGTTCGGATACTCTGTCTCAACGTGTCACTCTGATACGATATTGAATCTTGAGGCTAGACACAATTGTGTCAGACCCTATATTGATTATGAATGACTGTATCATTGAAAAAATTTTCATTTTCAACCGTACATTTTATAGCTAACTTATTCTATTCGATTTCTTATTATACCTAGATCTTAAACGTAGTGATCATGGTGTTTATCGATGTACAGTTTGGAATCAAGCTGGTGAAGCACAAGCAATTGGACATGTTTTAGTACATTCTGAACCACAATTAGAATTAATGTCATTTGGGTATAATTATTTTCTAGGCCATAAACCATGGAAAGCATCATGTGTTGTAAAAGGTTATCCATTGGCAGGACAGTATACAAATAACAGTCAGATTAACCAACATAAAAATCGTGACCAATCCATTGAAACAAATGATTCAATCATCACTGGGAAACAAACTGTTGATACAAATAGTGGTATTCTTGGATTAGGACAAACAGATCATAATCAACAATCAAATTCTAATAGTGTAACACCATCAATAAGAATGAAAATTTTCAATATAGAAGGAGAACCATTAGATCGTGTAGAAATTAATCAAATTGATTATAAATCAGGAAAATTCACCGGGTAAATTATGTTAATATCGGGATAAATTGATTTTACTACCTTTTCAAATTAATTTTAGCATTGTTTTTCATATGATTTTTTAACAGTTGGTCATCATTTGTTTGAATATATTCGTTATCTACAGGGTTTTAAGGTTATATACACTTCGAGAGATCAGACTTAAATAGTATATGAATTTAGGTTGATACCATGAATGGATGAATGTTAGATCACCATTGAAACTTGGAAGCACGGGACGGTTGTTTCGTCCTATTGTGATGCTCCTCAGCAGTGCTTCCAAGTTTTTCATGGTGGTCTAGATTCAGTTGACTCGTGATCTCAATTATTAAAATTACTATGTGATCCACAAGAACCCTTCTGATATTAATCAACATGTGCTAACTAGTAACCGGTTTCAAGGGGTATATCCTGGAGTTTTAGTGAGGAGTATTGACCAGTGAAGTTCAACCGGGTCTGTTATGAGATAGTAATTCACTGAAAACAATGGTGGATGTATCACTCAATTTTGTGGATTAGTTGAAGTTATAAATTAACACCGCTGGAAGCCGGTCGGATCAGTGGTTCAGTGGTTAAGCGTTTGCATGTGAGACTGATAGGTCCTGGGTTCGTATCGCAGGGTGTGGATGCGAACTGCTGGGGAGCACCACAATAAGACGAAACGACCGTCCATTACTTCCAGGTTTTCCATCGTTGTCTAGCTTCAATTGACTCATGATCTCAACTATTGAAGTTTCAAATTATTTAAAAGATAAAAATTATTTAAATTTTTCCCTAATTCATTTATTTTTAACTAACAAAATATTTTGTTTATTTATTTGGAATAATTTTTAAAAATTTTGTCTTTATGGTAAACAGTTTAACTAAGAACTGATGTTTATTGTATATTACTGAACTAATATGAATTGAGTAGTATTAATATGTCCAATAAAGGATTTCAAGATATCACAATAAATAGGTAAATAAAAAAGAATTTAGTTTGTTTACGGAAATAATTCGACATAATTTGTTTGTTTGTTTTATACGCGTTCAATAATGTATGAAGTAGTTGTCATATGCCTTTTTGATCATATGATTATATGTTTGAGTTTGATGTATGTATGGGTGATATAAGATTAGGAATTGGATGGATAAAAATGATATTTTACGAGATTTACTTAATTACTTACTTACTTACTTACTTACTTACTTACTTACTTACTTACTTACTTACTTACTTACTTACTTACTTACTTACTTACTTACTTACTTACTTACTTACTTACTTACTTACTTACTTACTTACTTACTTACTTACTTACTTACTTACTTACTTACTTACTTACTTACTTACTTACTTACTTACTTACTTACTTACTTACTTACTTACTTACTTACTTACTTACTTACTTACTTACTTACTTACTTACTTACTTACTTACTTACTTACTTACTTACTTACTTACTTACTTACTTACTTACTTACTTACTTACTTACTTACTTACTTACTTACTTACTTACTTACTTACTTACTTACTTACTTACTTACTTACTTACTTACTTACTTACTTACTTACTTACTTACTTACTTACTTACTTACTTACTTACTTACTTACTTACTTACTTACTTACTTACTTACTTACTTACTTACTTACTTACTTACTTACTTACGCCTGTTACTCCTCGTGGAGGACCATAGGCCTCCCATCAACACACGCTATCCGACCCTGTCCTGGACAATCCTTTCCAGCTCGCTCCAGTTGTTATTCATCCTTTTCATATCTACTTCTATTTCCCGACGTAATGTGTTCTTTGGCCTTCCTCTTTTCCACTTCCCTTCAGGATTCCAAGTTAGGGCTTGTCTCGTGATGCAGTTTGATGATTTGCGTAATGTATGTCCTATCCATTTCTATTGCCTTTTCTTAATTTCTTCCCCTGAAAGTTGGTTTGTTCTCTCCTGTAGAATGCTGTTAGTGATGGTATCCGGCCAATAGATGTTGATTATTCTGCGTAGACAACTATTTATAAATACTTGTACCTTCTTGATGATGGTTGTAGTAGTCCTCCAAGTTTCACCTCCGTACATTAGAACTGTCTTGATGTTCGTATTGAAGATCGTGACTTTGAACTGGTTGAAAGTTGTTTTGAGTTCCATATATTGTTCAATTGTAGGAATGTAGCCCTTGCTTTGCCAATCCTCGTTACAAGATTTAGGGAGTATAAAATTCGAACAGCCTGATTTTTTTTGATAAATTCAAATTGGGTGATGATGATAAGATTCTCAAAGAAAAGAAATGGAACTCATCAGCCTATTTCAACGCTTTGCATCAGATGTTAACGGCCTGAAGTTATAATTAGCAATATGATTTTTAAAATGTTTTACTTATCTTGATTAATCATGAACCGATCTAATTTAGACTATTATTGGGACTAAATTTGAGGGGAAATTTCTGAGGTTCTGGCAAAAGAGCTAATTCGTGAATGCTGTGAATAAGTTACTCGTTGAAGACAATGTCGTGGATTGATTGAAGTTAGATATTGACACCGTCAGTGATTTAGAGGTTAAACGGTTGCTCTGGATTCGACTCCCTTGTGTAGGGTTTCATGGGTGAACACATCTGAGGAGTCTCATACTAGAACGAAACGGCCACTCAATACTTCCAGGTTTTCAAAAGTAGTCTAATAATGGTCGATTCATAGTTTAATGAAATTCAACACTCGATTCAATCCCTTACTGACAATACAGGAATAATATCATAAACCATAATTCTGTGATAAAATGAAAATTTTGTTTTTGATAGTATTTTTAATTGTAACTTCAAATTGTTTGTACCTAATATGGCACCTTAACATAGAATTATGCAGTTATCACATTCTAAAAATCATGTCCTCCTCGGTTTATTTAAATTTAAGTGAAAAATTGTTTTCAGTTAGATCGTCATCAGACTTTACTCTTATATAAATGAATATTTACACGAACACCTACGAGTAAAACCTCGTTTTTCCAACTCCCTAGGTGGACTCTCCATGTTCACCGGCCCGATTAAAGCGCCGGACATTCGCTTTTCGCTTTTCATCTCCTCAATTTCATAAACAACATCCATGGCGCGACAAGGCAGTGAGTAGGACTTTCCCGTCAGAGGCTATACACGCGTGGCCGTGTGAGAGCATTTTGAGAGGGCGGGACCTCCTCACTCTTGGCTGTACCAGGGCATTTGATTGTGTACTATAAGATGATATGGAATTTTCTTTCCATAAATAATACCCAATAAAAAACTTAGCGTTAATAACTTTATTCATAAATCTATACAAAACTCTAAATTAAAAAAGTTACACATTGATTGATAATGTTAGGAACTGTGTTAACAAAATTTAATTGATAAAATTTGTTATAACTTGTCGTTTTGACTACTAATTGTCTTGGCTATCATCCATTGATTAGTTAATATAATAGAGAAATCTATAGAAACTAGGGTAGTTAAGTGATAAATTCGTTGACTTTGACATTGATTCTCTTATGCTAGAATTGTATAGGGTGAATTAAATTTTACAAAACTGAAGATATTATCTTGCTGTTGAATGTAATTTAGCATAAATCTTATAAAACAGAATTTCATACTAATTGTTTCCAGTTATAGTAATATAGTATTGATAAACTTTTACGTAATAACCTTATATTATTAAAAAAAGACTTCTTAGATGAATATTACATCATAATATCAATGCTTGTTTTATGAATTCTGTTTAATATCTATGATATTACTGCTAATATATAGAAGTGGTAACTACTGTAATTCGTATGACATGAAGTAAAAACACAAAGACTAGTATAAATGAAAATTTATTAACAATTTTAATGATTAAGATCATGAGTTGATTGAAGTTAGACCACCACGGAAAACCTGGGAGCACTGGACGGCCGTTTCGTCCTATTGTGGGACTCCTCAGCAGTGCTCATCCACCATTTCGCCTCGCAACTTTGTTAAACCAAACTCATTCATTTAATATACTGATTTTATTCTCATTTAAGGATAAGTTTTAATGAATATTATGTTAATTAAAAGATACAAAAGTTTACTGTAATAACATTGACAAAGGTCATATAGAATAACATAAAGAATATAATTATTTAACTTGATAAAAATTCATACCTGTCATATTGAATAAACTTCACACTTAATTAATATATAAAATAATGACCTAAAATAAGGTTATACTGAAAAATACGAAAACGATAAATTAATGTTATACTATATAAAATATTAGATTGAGACTGACGAGTCCCGTAATAGGACGAAACGGCCTTCTAGTGTTTCCAGGTTTTCTATGGTTGTCTAACTTTATTTAACTCATGATCTCAAATAATGAAATTAAAAAAAAGTAAAACAGAATCATATTGGAAACAAAAATAATTATTATGAAACATAGTGGCTAGTTGTTGAATCTAATATATGCGTGTCATTCTATTTTGAGATTCATTAGCTGAATGTGCCTGGATTACATGATTATCTACCATCCATCTTTGCTTATAATAGTTGTGATTTACTTAAGAAAGTATCAAGGCAATCTACACAGAATGTACATATGATGATAAGTGAGATAGATCAATTGCAATCCTAAATATTAATGAAAAGATTCAATTAAACGATATAAAAATGAATTGAACATTGTGAAATACTGAGTTAGAAACAACATAAATTTACTTCATTATTTCAACTTATATATACTGTACAGAATTAATGCCACTTATGAGATTCATATGAATCAACGTTATGGACGTGAAGCTATTGTACGTTGTGAATATACACATACAGATAATAGAACAATTTATCGTGAAACATTTCTACGTGAAGCAACAAAACCAACTGCACCAAATGTAAGCTATTATTATAACTATTCTTTACATTGATCTCATTTGATTTAAATGAATTGTGGAATAGTGATGATATATATAAAATGAGCATTGTTTACTCTATTTAACACTTGTCTACCAGATTTACTTCCATTCTAATGTTAACAACACACGTTCATCCTCGAACCTAGTACCTATTACTTTAAGCATTTAATATTTATTATTATTATTATTATTATTATTATTATTATTATTATTATTATTATTATTATTAGAAGCTTTATTCAACATTATATTTTTGGTACAACATAGAATTCTCAGCATAAAGTATTTCAACAAGTTTCCTTTCCTTACACCTTGATCTATTGTGGCGATAAATTTTGAATGGTGACCGGTTAGATGTTAGGAGTTCGGTAATCCACATTTGAATAATATTCATTCGTTTCAATGCATATTGTCAATCACCATGATGTCGCTGATTGTATCTTTTTGTATCATGTATAGCGAAAGGTTGTAAACTTTTCATAAACGCGCCTGAATAGATTGTGCGCACAATAGACATGATGATGTGGTAAAACAAACAACAAAACAGATAACTTGAAGAAATATCTAGATCGGAGGAACAGGTAGCCAAGATATTCAAGCAGGCCGCCTAAGAAAGTATCACTTCTAATTTAATTCTATGACCTACTGATTTTAGATAGTTATTAAGAGTATCAAATTTATTTTTAAGTGCTCATCTTTTTTTTCTCATTCCCGGTAGTTTGAACTACATTATCATTTGTAATGAATTAATTTTCAGATTACTGTTCTATGTACTGGTCCACGTGCAATTGTATTTGGAATAACAAATCCCAAATTAAAACCTGATAATATGCCTACAGAACGTATTGTTACACAAAAGGTTATATTTGCACCTGCAAAAGTAAGTGAGTAGTAAATATCTATTTTTGCAAATTGTTAATTCAAAACATTTACAATTACTGATAAACAATTGTGGTTTGTTGGGGTCTTATGAAAAGAAAATCAAAAATTTTTATTTGAAGTCATCTTTTAATGGTAGGTAGTTTCTTAATCTTCTGACTTATATCATTTTCAATATGTCCAGTAACTGTTTAGTTAGTTGGTCATAAGAACCTGGTATCTATGTGGATTGGTTTAAGCTGCTATAGTATATCAATATAGTCAGATGGAATCAACGACTCAGATATCAGAATATTGGAAGTAGTAAAATCATCAGTGGTAGTAGAAAACACTGAGTATATTAAGACATGATTTTAAAAGAATGAATGAATTCCAAGGATGAACAGTATTTAATCATTTTATATCTGAAAATATGATGGAATTTAAAGTATGAGCCATTGTTAATGATTCTGAACTATGTCACTCAATATATGAAACTGTTATTTACGAAAATTGAGGAGACTCTAAATTGGTAGCCTGATTCTACCGAAACGTCTCAGTCCAAATCAATGGCTTTAAGCACTAGTGATACGTCTTGGTTTGGCCACTTGCTATCTTCCCATCTATTCCTAAACCATAAAACATTGAAATTTGCAGTATGCATTGGTTGAGCTTACTTAATACATGTCTCAACCACCTTAGTCAATGAAGATTCACTAACTCATCAATCAATTCACCATCTTTACCTAGTGCTATGTGTTTAACCTCAGCAATGCTCTTTCACTGGTTCCAGCAGATGTGAGTAATGCTTCCAAGAAATACTGGTAATCTCCAAATGTCCCTCATTTTTAAACGCTACATTTCATTTCCATAAAACAGAACACAACAAACTTCCGTTTAGTATACTTATTTTTTTGGCTAGCAGATAGATGTCTGACGTCCTCCACAAGTGATGTACATCATCGGAAACCCAGTAGGCTTTATGAATTCGTTCAGTGACTTTGTCAGAAACCAATTTGTCACCGTTTCTGACGAAATCTCCGCTAGACAGTAACTCGAAGCTAGCTAATCTTCTATATGGCTAGAAAAAGTTTTGGTAAAAGTATAATTCATATTCCTAACCCTCATATCAAAGTGTTAATCCTAATCCTAATTCCTTACACTAATTTCTAATCCTCATTTAATCCTAGTAAGTTGGCCTACATGCTCAAGGTCACTTAAGCATTCCTTGAGGGTCATTCATAAATTATAGTCTCACTACTGATGCTATTTGAAAATATCCTCTGTGAACACATCCAGTGAAGGAGAGTCAGACACTGTTGATGAAAAGCACAAACGTAGTAAACGTTATCCATTTAAATAAAGTGTAAAGTGAAAATTACACTTTCATATCCAGTAAACACCAACTAAATGATTGTAAATATGACTGAAAGTGCTAAACGTAGTACAGTTATTAAACATTGAAACAACACAGTCAGTAGTCTGAGTTTAAACTTTTTATTAATTAACTTTAAATTTTAAAGATTTCATTTGTTTCTTCTTTGTTTATTCATAGACATTTCATTTATCATCTACATTGGCAAGTTTATCAGTTTATTTAGATTCAGAAGGACAACCATCTGCATCACCAGCTAATGATAATGATCCATTAGATAGAACTATATTAAATTCAATTAGTGCACAACCACAAACTGCTGTTATACCAGTGAAAAATTTAATACCAGATACAGAATATGTATTTGAATGGTCATCTGGAAATGAATTTGGTTTAAGTGTAATGATACAATTTACTTTATGGACTAAAAAACTTGAAACTGCACCAACAATTAAAGTGAGAGTGTTTTCTGTCTTATGTTCTTTTAGTTTCTCTGTTCTCATCGTTATCGTTGTTAGTGTTTAAAGTAAAGGATTAAACTTGATCTATACTGAGTGATTAGACAGTGTAGTTAAACTGTGTCAGGTGTTAGGCAATTACTCAGCAAAATCAATGTGAGATGATTACGCCATATAATGAACTGATTGGAGTTTGACATTAACACTGTCAAATCCGGGAATTCGCGCTAGACCGAAGGTCCTAAGTTCTATCCTCTCTGATAGGAGTCTGCTATGGGCAATGTTGAAAAGTTTTTATTGGCACGAATCGGATGTCTAATACATCTAGTTATTCAGTGTTCATTTAACCTAGATCGGTTCATAATTTTGAATAAATTCAACACTCGCCACATCCATATACTGATATGATGTTAATCAGTATTCTGCGATAAGTAATTGTAATCATATCATTTCTGTTGAACGTCACTCGTGACCCAAACATCACAAAAGGTTCGAATGCAATAGGGACCATTAATTCCTTCACGTTTATGAGTATGCCTTTCTGAACAATAATAACTATCATGAAACCTAAATCTAGGATTTCCAGAAGACTGTCTACAACTAACTGATACTAAAACATAGTACATGAAATATCGGGTTACTAAGACTAGTGAACTTACTATAACTTGATTGGTTGAATTTGATCAGTGCTAAAAGACTAGACAAACATAAAATCGAACACTGCTCAAGGATCAATCAATACCTATCAACATTTGTAGTACTTAAAGAGAGACTGATTCTTATACTACTATTTACATCTTAGAGTAATGTATAACATTAACTGTTATCAATCAAAAAATAAACTACTAAAAATAACAATGTAGGGAATAATAATTTTAAAAGTTTCCTTATATGATCAAATAACATTTCACTTGGCAAACACAATACTTTACATTTTCATTCATAAACCAGAGATTATATTTATTCAATCTCATTAATCATTCACAAGATTACGTAATATGATTAATTCATGATTACTTACTTACTTACGCCTGCTACTCCCAATCGAGCATAGGCCGCCGACCAGCATTCTCCAACCCACTCTGTCCTGAGCCTCCTTTTCTAATTCCATTCAATTCTTGTTCATCTTTTTCATGTCTATTTCCATTTCTCGGCGTAATGTGTTCTTTGATCTTCCTCTCCTCCTTTGGCCTTGAGGATTCCATGTGAGGGCTTGTCTTGTGACACAGTTAGGTGTTTTCCTCAGTGTGTCCTATCCACTTCCAGCGCTTCTTCCTGATTTCTTCCTCCGCTGGGATCTGGTTTGTTCTCTTCCACAGTACGTTGTTGCTAATGGTGTCCGGCCAACGGATCTGAAGTATTTTGCGTAGACAACTGTTAATAAACACCTGTATCTTCTGGATGATGGCTTTCGTAGTTCTCCAGGTTTCCGCCCCATACAGTAGAACTGTCTTGACATTTGTATTGAAAATCCTGACCTTGGTGTTGGTTGACAGTTGCTTTGAGTATCAGATGTTCCTCAGTTGTAAATATGCTGCTCTTGCTTTGCCGATCCGCGCCTTCACATCTGCATCAGATCCACCCTGTTCATCAATGATGCTGCCCAAATATGTAAAGGTTTTTACATCTTCCAAATCTTCTCTGTCAATTGTGATTGGATCGGTGCATGCTGTGTTGTATCGAAGAACCTTGCTCTTCCCTTTGTGTATATTGAGACCTACTGCTGCTGAGCCTGCTGCTACACTGTTCGTCTTCTCCTGCATTTGTTGTTGCGTTTGGGATAGGAGGGCCAGATCATCTGCGAAGTACAGATCGTCCAACTGCATCCTAGATGTCCATTGTATCCCGTGTTTCCCTTCAGATGTTGACGTGTTCATGATCCAGTTGATCACCAGGAGAAAGAGAAAGGGTGAGAGTAAGCAACCTTGCCTGACACTGGTCGTTACCTCGAACGACTTTGTCAATTGTCCTCCATGTACGATTTTGCAGTTTAATCCATCATATGAGTTCTGTATGATATTGACTACCTTCTGAGGCACGCCGTAGTGTCGAAGAAGTTTCCATAGTGTTGTTCTGTCCACACTATCAAATGTCTTTTCGTAGTCAATGAAGTTGATGTAGAGTGATGAATTCCATTCAATTGATTGTTCCACAATGATCCGTAGAGTTGCGATTTGGTCAATTCATAATTAGTGATAAATTATATATTGACTATTACAAAAATCTCATAGGGAAAATTATGTTTTATGTATATGTATATAACTTCTAAATAATTCAATATATATATATATATATATATATATATATATATATATATATATATATATATATATATATATATATATATATATATATATATATATATATATATATATTGATTTATTCATTACTATAAGAAGGGATGTTTAGAAAGCAAAGTTTCCTTTCAAACAAAATTTTTTTTAAAAAAGTATTGTTTCAGAAACTAGGGTAACATAAACATAGAGATATAAGTGACGAATAGGAAATACAAAAAAGAAAAGAAACTATGACAGGAAAAAACAAACTATGTAGCTTGATCAATATTATACAGACTATATAGCTATTTAGGTAGATAGAAAGAGAAATATAAAATGGTTCCGTTTAGATGAATTTATCCATTGAAATTTATTGATTAGAATAGCATAATATTGGTCCATATAATTTTTAGTGTAGTCTTAACTTTATTAAGTGTCAATATCTCTTAAACATATACATATACATATGTCATTGATAGAGTTATATTTGATTTTGGCAATAACAAAAAAAAGTAATAACAATTAAAGTATAGTATGGAGATAAACAGGAAATTTACTTTAAAGATTTTATATAAAATTCAAAATGTGTGACCAACTTTCATCATATAAAATATGTGATGCAAAAGTACTGTATAGAGATAAACCAAACAAAATTAAAAAGTATCAGAAAGGGGTTTTATGGAAATTGTAGTAATTTCAATAGTTGAAATCATGAGTCAATTGAAGCTAGATCACCATGGAAAACCTTTAAGCACTGGACGGAGTTCAATCAGGTCTGTTGTGAGATAGTAATTCACTGAAGACAATGATCGATGTGTCACTCAATTTTGTGGTTTAGTTAAAGTTAGACATTAACACCGTTGGATACCGGTCGGCTCAGTGGTCTAGTGCTTAAACACTCGCGTGTGAGACTGATAGGTCCTGTGTTCGAATCGTGGGGAGTGAATGCGCACTTCTGAGGAGTCTAACGATAGAACGAAAAGGCTGTCCAGTGCTTCCAGGTTTTCCATGGTTGTCTAGCTTCAATTGACTCATGATCTCAACTATTAAAATTAAAAAAGGTTTCTTTTAAATTTTTACGCAAAATTCAAATAGCAGATATAACTACTAGTTAAAATATATTCTTACAGTTTTTTAGAATGTCTTGAATGATTATACAAATTCAAATCCCTAATTCTTTCTATGTAGATTTATATAACAGACGAATGAATACTGCCAATAAATCCCAATCCCAAATACTCGATTCTGAAATAAAAATTTTTTCCTATTGGCTTAATATTTGATTGGATAATTAATCAGATAGAATCTATCTATTCATATAGATACAAAGTAGTTACGAAATTCAATTGATGTCAGTTTGTGATGAAAACTCTCATTTTGAATCCCGTGATTCTAGTCATTATTTTCAAATCCTCACCAAAAAAAAAATACAACTTGAGACTTTTAAAAGTCTACCTGGTATATTATTTGAGTTTTAGAAGAATCACTTGAAAACTGATGAATATCCTGATGATCATTAACTCTTTAATTAATAAGATAAACTCTGTTGGAATTCGCGATCTTTTCATTCTATATAGATCTCCTTCGAATGTCATCGTTAATTTTAAGGATTAGATAATCAGGTCATTAAATGTGAAACTGTTCAATATTGGAATGATTAATGACAATGTTAATAAACAGTTGTTTAATGTTGCTTAATCTTCAGTTGCAACCAAATTATCAGTTAGTCAGCAACAAAGTAGAACGTCGTACGTATGTACATTAGTTCGATTCGCCATACCACATTAGTACAGAGATACAATTGTCGATTTAAATCCCATAGTGGTAGAGGTAGTAAAAGTATAAGTAGTAATCATAAGGATTAAGGTTTGAAGATGTTATTCAAGGAGTCTAATCCAGTGAAATCAATTTCGAATAAGAAAGGAAAAGGGACATGAAGAATTCAGAAGATTAGAATTTTGGGAGAACACAAAGAGTGGATGCACCTACTCCATTGCAAACGATTTTGACCCATTTCATTCACGATATATAACCATCAGTTTCTATCGTCTCACGGATTTCAACCAAACTGAAGTCAATTTTTGTCGAATACTACCAAAACTTTTTCCATTTATATCAAACTCATTTATAATTCTCATTAGATTATCATTCTAAATTAGTTGTAGAAAAGAAAATTGATCATTAATGAGTTTAAAAGTGATCCTATTATACAGAATTACATCTTAGTCTCATTGAATATCTTGATTATTTCATGCGAAACGGTTACTTCACATATCAGTATATATATATTCCATCTTAAATTTTCTTCAACAATTGAATTCACTAATAGTTTACAGTAAAATAATTAGAGCATAAATGAATTCATTATATTTTTTAAATATATACATTAATGATCATTTCTAATAATGTCCCTTTATTGATTGATCAATAAAAATTTTTATCTTTTGATTGGATAATATATAAATATTACATATTTGATCATGATCATTCCCTACCTACCTATCCAATAATAATAATAATAATAATAATATTAATAATAATATTAATAATAATAACTAGAATATATCTATTTCATTTCTGGAATCCATTACATTAATACGGTAAAAATCTAATAACTACGTTCACAAAACCCATTCTGATAATAATAATCAACTGCTCACTAGTGACTGACTTCAAGAAAATCTCCTGGAGTTCTAGTGAAAAGCCGTTACCAGTGGAGTTCAACCGGTCTGTTGTGAGATAACAACTCACTGAAGACAATGGTGTACGGTGGCGCAACTTTGTGGATTGGTTGAAGTTAGTTAGACATTAACACCGTTGAATGCCGGCTCAGTGGTCTAATGGTTAAGTGCTCGCGCGCGAAGCCAGTAGGTCCTGGGTTCGAGCCCCCGGTGGTGCGGGATCGTGGATGCGCACTGCTGAGGAGTCCCATACCAGGACGAAACGGCCGTCCAGTGCTTCCAGGTTTTCAATGGTGGTCTAGCTTCAACTGACTCATGATTTAAAAACCTGTGAAATTACGTTCATAATTATTGAGTTACATTAATTTATTTCAAATTAACTGTAACTTGTTAGAAGCTAAATGATAATGTTTCATATTTTATAATATTCAGTCACTTACTGAATCGCTGAGGAGTCTCATGCTAGGACGAAACGATTGTCTAGTTCTTTTAGGTTTTCATTGGTGTTTCTAACTTGAATTGACTCATGAATTCAACTGTCAGAATATTTAAATATTTGGATTCCTAGAAACTTGAGTTATTAAAATATGCATCATTACATAATTCTTCATACTAAATAACGATACTCTTTTTGTATGGTTTGTTTTTATTTAGAGCATTCACATTTTGTGTAATTTACATGTTAGATTATGCTTCGGAATGTTTTCTGAATAGTAATAATAGTAAATCATTTTTACTTTTAAGATGATCAGTAAATGAGGTTATCTTACATTATTATACAATTAGCATAAATTTGAACATCTGAGGAACATAAGTGATAAAAGTCACAGTTTCATAGCCCTCTTATAAAGTGTCAAGTGATCTTAGTAATTTCAATGTTTACTTTATAATATAACACATATTCTTTGACACCAGTAATATATGAGTTTATTACTTTTATTTATTATCAAGAATGTATATTTTGGATAATCACATAAACGTCCCCGATCGCCCTAGTATGGTCGAGAGTGGGGAGAGTTAGCTTTCCCTGTCGAAATGTCCTCACACAGTAACGTGTATATAGCCTCTGACAGGGAAGTCCTACCCACTGCCTTCTCGTGGGACCGCTGTTGTTTACGTAAGTGAGAGGACGAAAAGCGAATGTCCGACGCTTTAACCGGGTTGGTGGATATGGAAGATCCACCAAGGGGAGTTGGGAAACCCTGATTCTAAACCAGTGGTGCACGTGGGGTCCAGTATGAACCTATTATTGGTCACCGGCTACCATTTTACTACATCTCCTTACGTTGCTCCACTGCCTTATGGATCAGACCTTTAAGTCAAAGGCTCCGGGTGTGGCCCCCTAAGTTAACCACTTGGTTCGGTTTGGGTACCCATATGATTGAATAAGTAAAAACGACATAAAATATTTAACAACAATGTAAGCGAATGAAATATAATAAAGAAGTTTTTTTAGATTATCATCAATGTAACAGATAAAATTGGAAATCATTGGAAAATAATTTATCATATCACTTGAAATTTGCATGATATATCAAGAATGTGTAATAGCTGAGAAATACAAATAAATTTGATTGTATATACATATAAAAGATATATATGCTATAAATATGAACCATTGGATGTTAGTTCAGTTGTAGAAAAGTTAAACATTTATCACAAAATCTGGAGATTTAGTGTTCACTCTCCGATAGTGTCATAAATGGGCACTGTTGAAGAGTACAATACTAGGACGAAACAGTTACTCTATACTTACTACCGGTTCTCAATGTCTGTTTAACTAAGATCAGCCTGTGTCGTAAACTATAAAATTAATAAGTATTGGATTAATTTTTGCTCGAAATTTCTGTTACTTTCTCCAGTCCAGGGTAAACAAAATCGCAAAATGAATTCTGTTTAATCAAAGGTCAAATCAAAGTAAAGACAAAGTATATTTACTTATGGGCATCAAAAGTGACTCAGGAGGGGATATACACTCAAATAATTAAACTATATAGATTGTTTACGCTTGCATCTTACTTCATCGATGTGAGCTTATTGGCTTTTAGTTAGTATACATCAGTATTATTGAATATAATAGTTACATGAGGTTTATCAAACTTTTTATATTTTAATAGTTGAATTTATGAGTCATTTGAAGCTAGACCACCATGGAAAATCTGGAAGCACTGGACGTCAGTTTTGTCCTAGTATGGGACTTCTCAGCAGTGCTCAGCTTTTGTACGATTTAAACTTGGATTAATTTTAAGTTGATGTCTTATTTTCTGAAGAAGTGGCTTACATTAAGTCACGAAACGTCAGAACGTCTAATTTTTCCACTCATTCGGATATTACAAATATAATAATTTATTTATAACAATCGTTAACTGTTCAAAATCTTCTTGTTATTCATAACAAGTTATTTAGTCTTATAGGCTAATACGATAATTGTTTAGACTGAATAGTAGTATTTTTTTTAAAAAGAAATGGTTTAAATCACAGACTGACTATATCAGGGAAAACACTGAAACCAGCTGTTTCATCGTTGTATGAAATTCTGTAGAAATGTACATCAACATATTCACCCTGAGTAATTTCTGTTTTGAGTTAACAATCAAAATTACTTTTAACACACTTTGTTAGCTGTAATCCAGTAGTTGTAATTTTTAACCGGCTATTGACATTGTAGTGTGTGCTACTTATGTCGACATAAATAGTATGTAACGCTAGTTGGAAATAGAATGTCTGGCAGCAGAAGGTTGAAAAGATCGAAGAGGAAAGAACGGGAATCTAAAGCAATCGGTATAGAAATGCAGGAACAATAAAATTTAAGGCAATTAATGAAAATTTTGCGAATGAAGTATTGGAGTATGGTTTTTCTATTTTATCACGTAACTCCAATTTTATGCTGAATATAATCGGTTGTCCTCACTTGTGTTCTCCTTCACTACAATATTATTTAATTTGGAAATAGTTAAATTAATTCCCAGTAGAGCTATTTTTCATATACTAAGAATTATAATGAAATACTATTATAATGAGTAATGATGAATTGTGGCCAGCAGTGGAATTCAGGACGCGCGTTTCATCCTATCTGGGGCTCGTCAGCTATAAGTACCTGCATCTTAGAGTTAATGCTCACTCTGGGACTAGAACCCAGTACCGTTCGCTCCAAACACTATTGCATTATCTACCTAGCTACTGACTCCTATTAGTTACTAGCTTGTGCAATGGGATGAAGCTTAATTAATTTTTGTATTGGCATATATACATTCTGTGCGGAGATTGATCAATTCCGGTCCTAAACATCAATGGGAAGATTCAAACAAACAATACACAATGAATTAAAATATGCTGATAGTTTTAAAAACAGTAATAAAAGTGAATGGGTATTTTGTAACTAATTTCCCAATTCATACAAATACTCCATTTTATCATTCACATAGAATATAATAAGAACTTCTTTAACATTTAACTTAATTATGATTGCATAATTATTTCCATATGTTTATTATTAATAATTTATCCTTATGTTTATTTTTTTTGTAATAGAATATTGTATTCTTGAGTCCTACATCTCAATATCTTCGATTTTCTACATTTTTGGGTGATCCATGCCCATATGAAGGTGGTGCAAGACCAGAACTATCAGATTTATTAGTTAGATATCGTTTAGCTAAATCTAATTCTACTTATGATCCAACACAATTAATTGGTTATGGTGATTGGTCTGATTTGGAAGTTTGTAAAAATTTAGCTTCAGCATCAACACTTGATATAAATTATTCAAATAATAATCAAAATGATAATATTGAAAATTTTAATGTTGTTGGTACAGAAGAAGATGAATATACTGGCATTAAATGGGCTGGTGATAATCCAATACCATGTGAAATACCAGTACCAGATACCCAAGTAATTTATGAAGTAAGTTTAAATGATTTATTTATAAAGGTTTATACAAGCTATTACCTATCTGTACTCAATAGATACTGTGTTACCGTTTAGAGCGAAAGGTACCGGTTTCGACTCTTCTGGTGAATATCAACACTGAAATGCAGGTATATTCAAATGAAGTATTCAAAACTGACAAAACCCTCGTCTTATATTTTATTGTCAGTTACTATCCAACTTAATTAAATTATTTTAGATTAGTTGGGTTTTATAAGCAAAGATGGATAGGGGCTAGCAGTGAAATCCAGGATGCGCGTTTCATTCTATTTGGGACTCATCAGCTGGATGTACCTGCATCTCAGAGTTGATGATCACTCTGGGATTCAAACTCAATACCGTTCGCTTCTAACGCCATCGCGTTATCCACTTAGCTTATAAAGCTTGTGACTTCGGGTAATTTCGAGGCAGTTCGCACAGAATGCATATATGCCATCAAGAGACTGATCAATTGCAGTCCTAAATGACAATAGGAAGATACAAGTAAACAATACCAAGTGAATACAGTTGGGTTTTGTCAAAAAACAAATCAGTTTTGTCGAAGTATTTGCAATGATAAATAATCATTTATCAATACGTTATGCATAATATCTGAACAAATCTTGTACAATACATGTATGTCAATATTAACGGGAGCATATTCCACACTTTATATACATAAACAAAGTACTACTGACAAATATTAGGAAAAATTATACAAAAATTTATATTGTAATAATGTTTATTTTTCTAAAATATTACCAAACATTTCAAACATATGTATGTATTTATAAAATCTTAGCGAATAAATTTGAAGTAAATCCAACGTTTTGCCTGGCAATCTGATCTAAAAGATGGTAGCCCAATTTTGTGGATTGATTGAGGTTAGATATTAACACCGCTGGATGCCCAGTCAGTGATCTATAGGTTAGGCGTGAGCACGTGAGACCAAGGCCCCGGTTTTGAATCCCACGAGCAGGATCGTGGATGCGCACTGCTGAGGAGTCTCACAATGGGACGAAATGACCGTCCAGTGCTTCTAGGTTTTCAACATTAATTACCACCCAGTCATTAATCAGTGTGAACATCGCAGTCCTATAACTAAGCTAAACAAATGTATGTAGTATGGCTTAGACTACTTGCAATTGATATTGTAGTCTTAACATAGTCTTTCACTGCTTTCCAGGTTTTCTACTAACCTTTTTTATTTACTATGTAGTTGCAATGAAAATTCTATGAATTTGATTTGGGAAGTTGTAGGAATTTATATAGCAACTACATTCATTCATAAGTGTATACATATCTAACATGCTAAGTTTTAAATATTCAAGTAACCTTAGGTCAAATCAATATGGATACATTTTAATAATTATGTGGTATTAGAAGGGGTTTTGTAGAGATTTTAGTAATTTCAGTTGTTGAGATCATGAGTCAATCGAAGCTAGACAACCATGGAAAACCTGGAAGCACTGGACAGCCTTTTCGTTCTATCGTTAGACTCCTCAGCAGTGCGCATCCACAACCCACGATCCGAACACAGGACCTATCAGTCTCGCGCGTGAACGCTTAACCACTAGACCACTGAGCCGACCGACATCCAACGGTGTTAATGTCTAACCTCAACAAATCCACAAAATTGAGTGACACATCGATCATTATCATCAGTGAATTACTATCTCACAACAGACCCGGTTGAACTCCATTGGTCACTGCTTCTCACTAAACCTTCAGGATATACATCTTGAAGCCAGTCACTAATGAGTATATGTTGATTAGTATCACAAAGGGTTTTGTGGAGATTTTAATAATTATGTGGTATCTAAAGGCTGAATACTTATTTTCCTCGCTCCTTTTCTTTATATCATCAAATGTAGTAGAAAAATATGAAACCCTATTTTTTTGAAAGAAAATAATCAATCAATGATTTTCGATATCAAGCGTGTACATTGAGTTTATTTTATCCCAATGGGAATTGAATAATAAAACTGAAGTTTTATCCTCTAATATTAACAATTGAAGTATGATTGGAAAACACTATTCAATTATTATATTAATTGAAAATCACTGTTCATAAGTGATTTTGTTGGATTCTTCATAATGATATGTCAGGTACCCAATAAGAATATCAATACTTAGATGTATGTTCAACAAACGAGCTCCGAATACAATGAAACAAGTGTCCATCATCTTAATCCAATAGCAAGTTAATCTATTCTACATAATAATATATAATTCATACAAACATCACATCCACCACAGCTTAAATGAGAATCCAAATTTCTGTAGTCAATTGTGGTTTTTCTCCTTAACTTCATCGTGTCTGTCCGATCGTGTACTGAATGTAGACTCTGTATGATCTAGAATATGTTTATAAGTATTAGAATTAACGACCAACATTGAAACGAACTCACCTGAGCCCTGGGATTGTATGAAATCACCATTTCGGTTGTGTACTGAAACCATTGATATCTCGAATTCGAATCATAGATTTTCCAACACTATCCTACCCCACGAAGTAGTTTTGGATCTTAATATCCCCAAGTTATGAATGTTGTGGCTTCATTTAAATCATAATTTTTGTACTGATTGGAGTATTCATTAGAAGTGACTTCATGATAAGGAGAAATAACAGTTGATATGAAATCATCAGAGTTGTGATCAAGATCAAGTTCATTTAGGACTCGTGCTTTTCATTGAACAAGTTCTCCACAAGAAACAAATGCATTCTGAAAACGGATAACATTTGATATGACATCAAGATTTGATTTTTCTGAAATATTTCCCTCAAATTCATTAAGAATTTCATTGAAGAGTGACGGATCACTATAAAAATCAGAATCTATCAAAACTGTGTAAGGTTTTCGATCATGATTTGATTCACTCAACATGTTTTCCTTAGATTTGTAAGAAATTTCATTAGAAATATGTGAATCATCAGAACAAATCATATCTGGTACAATAACATGAGATACGTTGATTGATTAGAAACTTTTATCTCACAAGAATTCTGAATTTCATTTAACTCTGGTTTGCTATATTACCCTATACCGCTTTTCGAAGTCGTAGATAAAGATAAATGATCATTAGAAGCACCCAACTTAATAGGATCATAATAACATATTCTAGAATTAGTTGCAGCTGAATGAACTGTAGTATTACAAACTGACTGGATGTATCCAATCTTACCACATTTAAAGCATTTAAAATTACGAAATACACAGGAATTAAATGAATGAAACCTGTCACAAGACAAACATTGACCAAGCTTGTGCCCATCTTTGTCAACTATATTGCAACTCCTCAATGAATCATCTGCATAACCTCGAGTACGCACTGGATTGAAATGACATATTGATGTAGTGGACGTTTTGATGTCCTGATGAATCATTTTACTAAAATTCCCTCCTTTACCGCATTCGAAATTTGTATAATTAGCATAGTTTGGCAGTAGTTCATTCAGAGTTGCGTAAGGAAACGAAATAGGCTTTTCTGGTAAAGCCAGAGTTTTCATTGATCTGTAAGCTTCCTTTCCGACTAATGTAAAGAAATGTGTCACAATATTTACATCTTCAACATCTTCCTTAATCATAATCCAGATTACGAACCTTTCCAAGTAATCCTCAAAAGCATCAAAATCGGAATGCATGTCCAACCATTCCATCACATGCTTCATCACGACGTCAATGTGATAATTAGAAGTATTTGAATTATAATACAAACAAGGAATCTCACAAAATAACGCAATTTCAACAAGAAGTATTAGATAAGCACAAATGAACGTATTGTATTTGGTATTTGAAATCAAAGCAGTCAACAAGTACAAAGGAATCATTAGTTCATACAAACACTATAAAGATCCAATATTTCATGTGATGGTTTTGAAGGTATTGCTTGATTGAATTTGTTATAATTCTACTATAAAAGTCTTCTATCGGTTTTTATTTCTATTATATGTAGTTTTCATAAAAATATTTTGATCATATTATTAACTCAATGATTCTTTCTTTTATATATAATTTTTCTAGATTGAAGTTGCTACAAGAAATCGATTTGAAAAATCTGATTGGTTTCAAACATTCTATCGTCCAAATGCTGTTGTATCAGCTGCATTATTCTGTTATCCAAAATGTTCAGCTATTATATGTAATCTTTCTAGAATATTAATAATTCTAATATTTCTATGCTCATTTATTCATTATTTATAATAAATGAATCAACTGTATTCAACATTTGATGTATTAATTCCATGAAATCAAAAGAAAGACAACAAAAATAAATGACCCTCAATCTCAAATACACTTACATTATCCAATTATACATGAGTGTATTCAAGAAGTGGTAATGTTCCTTTTTGTTTTGTTTTTTTCATCAAGTTCATTTTTGAATATTTTAAACATAAACCTTTTTTTTAAAACAAAAAACAGTATTTCATGCATTTAATTTTGAGAAGAAAAAGAAAACGAAAGAAAAGTACCCAAATTACCGAAACAAATGAAATTCATTTATCATGTAAAATACAAAAAACTCACCTGAAATAGTTCTTTCTATATAAGGGAATCAGCTTTCTTTATGTTAAGCATTTACTTTATTTATAATAAGCATGCTAATTTTAACAAAAAAAAACAATAACCCCCCGAAAATTTTAATTTATTCTTATTTTTTAACCAGAGTTTTTTCTTGTTGTTGTTCAGCTTATCTTTTATCCTTTACCATTATTATTAGTATAGTTGAGCTACTGTCTCATTTTTTGTATAGATAAGATTTGAGTAATAAACATTTAACTACTCATAAGTAGTATGAATCATTGAAGTAAATTCATACGTGGTTATTATAAGTTTCTGTTTAGTTACGGGAAAATCCATGTCATTTATGTTCTTGATCTTTTTTTTAGAAAAAATTGCAGGTATAAATAACTGATGTCATTGTTTATTCACTTTCTTAAGTTACGGGATCTTTTTTCTGGCTTTATGCATGACTTTTCGTGAACTCTTTCTTATTGAAATATACTCTGTTAAATGGGTAATCCTACAGTTAGCATAATAAAAATACTTTAATTTTTTAGTCATTTTGCATTGAATTTATCAAATTGATGAATTGCCAAGCAGTTTTATTCTTTATCTTTGTACTCAATGATTAAGAAGAAATGAACTATAAAACAATCGTTCCTGAATATGCATTTAAATGACTGAATTAACTAACATGTACAGTGGTACTAGACAACTAAAGTACATTAGAAATGACTAAACGCAATTGAACTGAAATGATGTTTCTTTAATGGAGATGAGTGTGTATTGATGCTTAACGAAATATTTATGTTAAATTAGCTTTATCGAAGTTTTCTAAACGATGTAATACATCATTCGGCTTCTTATAGTTTTCATATTATTCATTTGTTTTCACTGATTTGCGTGACTGTATATTTAATGTTCCGACCGGTTAGACATAAATTTACGGTGTTACATGAATCAGTCAATATTATTATGTTGGCTTTGCGGAAACAAATTACTCAACATTAGCAATAAATCAATCGATGGATCTATCAAAAACAATATGTTATCTATAGACGGATGAGCTTATGTAGACTCAAAAGTGCTATGAAAACATTTGAATGGAAGGGCAACAGAAGATGTAAAGACCTATTAATTTAAACTACTGTATTGCATGAGCTGTAAACTATATTCAATTTTTTTATTTCGAACTTTCTTTGTCAATCCTCCTTAGGATTTGTATGTTAGGTGGTTCTTCTAAGTTATTCTGCTGCTGACGTTTTTGTGAGAAATACATTAAATCATGAAATTTCCGGATGTGACCTTCTGATAGCGTATTGTTAGCAACAGATGTTCAACGTTACCGGTCACAGAAGGCATACGAAATTATTTTGAATCGTTCACTATGCGATTCTGTATCTCACATTAAACTATTATTGACACAGACACAACACTGACTTTCAGGGGATAATTTTTACCCTCTACACCAAAAACAGTTGAGCATATGATAATGTTATTTTCCATATCTCTAACTCGATGTTTAGGAATAAATGGATTACATAAAAACTTGAGTACAAAAGTTCGTGCATGTATATTTAGGTGATGGTATCAACTAACAAGTGCAGTAATAATAAACGGAATCAAATCTTATTATATAATTAAATGGACAACTAGACTGGAATAATAGTAGGATTAGAATTGGACCTCTCTTTAAATGAGTTGGGTTTATAGTGATAACAGATTTGGAGTTTCTAGCAGTTGTCTTACGGTTGATTTAGTTCGGGATAGAATTACACCGCTCTAACATGTAACGTACTTAAATGCGTCTCATTTGCTCAAATTATCTCCCAGTCTTTGTGTCTTAAATATGTATAGACCACGGTCACGCGTGACTGTTTACAAAGGCAGAAATCATGTAGCGGCCAATCTCAACGGAACTGATTAACCCACTTTTAATAACAGATCCTGTGTTGGGGGAGCACCAAGTGGATACGCAAACTACTAATTTCATCTTTAACAACGGAGAAGTAATAGGTAAATTAGGTGAGATTAAATAAATATGCTCCCAGCTGAATTAGAATATCATAGTTCTAACAGAAAAATGATTCACGATATGCATATTCGACAAGGAAGTGATCATGCGAGACATAACGTTTTCCAATGAAATAAAGCATAAAAGATGGAAGATGGAATGGCAATGTGAATTAATATTCACTTCAAAGCCCTAATACGACACAAAATCGACTTTACGGAAATAAACGAACATGCTGAAGTTGCTTTACCGCAGATAACACAAGGTACGTGACTGAACAAAAATACTGGCACCCCACAGGTTTCAACTCCCAGAAATTATTTATTTGTCTGCTACAAGAAGGCACCAAATATATATGCGCCACACAATAATAATGAGGCCAGTAGCACTTATCACCGATTTATATGAGGGCTGTGACTCTGAGCGTGTGCTCAATCAAAAATTGGTAGTTTTGTCAGGGAACTAATCCCCAAACTTCTGACCTTCGGGTTTAATCCACAAAGCAGTGGAGCGACCTTAGGAGATTCAGTCTCATTTTATTCGGTGACCAACAATATGTTTATACACCACTTGCTCCCATGTTAGCCAATGACATGAATTTGTGATTTTTCAACTCAACGTGGTGGATGCCTTGTACACACAACCAAGTTAAATCACCGGACATCCGCTTTTGGTCCTCTCAATTTCGTCAACAACACCCTCACGATGGAAGGGCAGTGATTAGAACTTCTGTGGATGTGGCTCTATACTAGTGGCCGTGTGCGGGCCTTTCATGAGGGAGGCCGAACTCTCTCCACCCTTGACCATACCAAGGCATTTGAAGGCAACGCCTAAAAAGATTAGATAACATAGGTGGTATGACAGCTATCACATCCGCTGTTCGACAAGATACTTATAGCTTGATTTTTCTACACTCCATCGCTCGATCTCAGAACACAGAATAAAATTTCTACTGAATGGGTCTATAGAGGTTCATTTCCTTTATATCAGATCCCAATAAATAACATCCCATTGACTGAGTATTTAATGCAGAATAAATCTCCTAGTAGAATTATGGATTTACTAGAGATTATTCAAAAGCCTGAACGCCAGTTATAGAGATAGTTTATTGTTAAAGATTGGTAAAATCCACAAGCGTATAGGAAGCAAGCACATAATGAAACCAAGAGTGTGAGTGAGTGTTAAAAATCTATACATATTTATGAGCATTACTCAAGTATGGATAAATTATTGATTGTCTGTGTATTACAACCAATGGGGGAATAGATTAAAAATTGACATGTGCTCAACCAGATTCTCATAATAAATTATATGGTGGATCAGGTGTCTAAATTAAAGTGAGCAGATAAATAATGGAATAGTTGAATGGACCTACTACAGCCATTAGAAGTTCGAGACTGACTAAACATGTGGGCGACTACACTAAATATGCTATGGATAGATAACCCCAGAGATCATACTGTTTACGTACAACCAGCTTCCACCAGTTTCTAGTCGATTGTGTCCATTATCAAGTACCAAACAGAAGTGGTAACCACAGAACTATCCTATTTAACCTCATCACAAACTATATGCTTCTGAGGGACAAGAATACTCCCATATTTTCTACGACTGTAAGGGAGTGGTGGTGGTTAACAATGAATGATCAATGAGAGATAAAATGCACATCTGTGAAGAGATGACCTTGTCTATGGAGAGTAACTGGATGCTAGCCACAGCCGAAACTGAGAGACTACCACAAATGGAAATTTCCTCTGAAGGATTCTGACAGTAACATTTAGAAACAGATGCGATACCAAGGCTAGGAACGACAGGAAATACTTCGTGATTAATCTAGCAGACAAAGTACAGACTAAACTAAAATATTTCGATGTGTTTATGACCTAACCAAAAACCTACAAATCAGGATGTCTTTGCTTTTGCAGAATTGTGATCTACTTCGATATTAGTACCGCTCCAATAATAGACCTAATCCAAAAATTGTAGATATGTCATGATGTAACAGCCTAACCTATAAGATATCATGTGGAAGTTACATCATTGTCTACCCTGACTCATTGTATTGTAACAATCATCAATATATAATGAAGAACACATTTAGGCTGGAGGTAGGAAAATATTTCTTCTGATAGTATAGGACTACCATACAACATGTTGTGACCGAAAGTTACTTCGTAAACGCCTTATACAGTGCCTCACGTACTCATCTCTGCGAAGGCTGTGAAGATGGGTTTCATATATTCACTTCTATTTTGGCTCCCAAACTACTAGGGAAAAATTTTCGTACTAGTGCCCATATGTTGCACGATAGATGAACTTTATCAATATCGTGCTATTCACAGTTGACTGCCCGAGGGGCATGATGTCATTTTCAATTAGTTTTCCCAAATTTTTATTGAATAACTGATATGCTTGATAGACTTTCAGTTCGGTGAACTTCCTTCTTACTTTATTTTTCGTGAAATGAGATAACAATCTCATACTTGATGTCTAACTAGCATAGTTGTTAAGTTACTTGAAAAGTTAATTCGGGTTAGGTTGATAAGCCACATGGATTTACACAATCTGTTAGCTGCTGAGCAACACGGATTTCGTAACAAGCGTCCATGCTTGACTAACTTGCTTATTGCGAGGGAGGACTGGAAAGCAGCCCTAGATAACGGTCTGTCGGTCGATGTGATATTCA